TACTTACCGTTGACAGTGACCACTACTTTAGTGAACTTGTCAAGTCCCCATCTTTCCACTCCACAGTAATAAACCCCAGAGTCTCCTAATCTGAGGTTTCTGATGGTGACAGAAAGGCACCGTGTAGACACAGTGTTCAGTATAGAGTATCTCCCTTTAGAGGTGACTGTATCAGCCTTCTCAGTTGTAATTAAAACATCAGAATAACCACATGGATCACGGCAAAAGTACTGGGACACGTCTTGATATCTATCTGAATAATTACAGTAGATTTCCACTCTGCCTCCTTCTGTTCCAGTAAAAACATTTCCAGACTGGCTCTTCATTTCCACACAGATCAGAACTAGAAAAATAACATGGATACATTACCTATCTTATCACATTAGTGTTAAACAGCAACTACACTAAAGCTTCAGAAACTTAAAATGAATTGATTAATTAAAACTTTCAACAATCTACTTAATATTAATCTATGTAGAATTTATTTTGACTGAAAAGGATGTTCCTTGTTTTGCTGTTTTATTTCAGTAAATCTTAAATTGTCAATTAGCACAGACTTTTTGAAAGGTAAGAATTATGAAATTCAGCATATAATCAACAGAACTGAATGCTGCTAAGAATTCAAACTGGATGAGGAAAAGTAATTAATTTACCTTGGAAAAGTGACAGAATCCTCAGAGGTGTCTGCATTCTACTCTACTCCACTAGTTTAGTGTCAGAACTGCTGTAAAGCAAGACAAGTCCAGAACTCAACACAACATGAGTTAAACAACCTTTATCTTTTCAGTCTGTTTCTGCACTCGTACCTCATGTGCGAGTGGTGAGCTGTGTGGTGTAGGTTCTCAGCAGAAGGGCTCTGAGAGTCTAACGCTGCTTATTACTTCTGGTTCCCCACAACAAGCAAGAGGAAGAAGCAGTGGTGTAAACTGTAAAGGAATTAAACAACACGAGAGGCCAGCACCTCAGCACTCTAATAGAACAACTCCTCCAGGCTCTGATAGAACAACATATTCACACTCTAACAGAATAACACCTCCACACCTGAGGTGTAGACAGGGGTTTTCAGCACCACTCTAGAAGCGATCCTTCTGGCCACCCCACGTATGGAAAGTGAGACATTCAGCCATCATCAATGAGCCATCATCAATAAAGCTTCAGTTATGCTTTTAATAAGGAATTCATGACGGGCAAGCTAAAAGGGAGAGTGACAGAGCTCTAGCTAAGTCCAGAATCAACACTGGCTCGTCTTTTCAGTGGTGGCAACAGTCCTGTGACCTGAAAGGACTCGGGAGTGATGGTGAAGTGGCTGTTACAAAAAGCTAACTATTGAAAATAGCCAGCAAGATTATAATTACTGTTTTGGAAGTTAATGTTACCCTTATAACATAATGCGGTGTACCCTTGTAATTGTGCAGTTGTTTCGGTTGTATAGCTAACGTTAGCTTAAACAGTATACTATTCGTACAATAGTATAAATAGTAATATTTATATTATATTCTATGTATACACGTAATATATATACGTGTATTTAGTGGTATTGAAATCTAATTCTAAATGCATTTAAGTGCATTTTAGTTGCAATATAATTCAATAAGTAGCACCAAACTTTATCAGTACATCCTGTAGGATATTTGTAATATATTCCAAGTGTAATTACAGTTATGTCTACAAATTACATGCTAAAATCTAATAACTGTAAACATTAAGAGTAGGGGTGCGGGAAAAAATCGTTTCTTAGATGCATCGCGATGCAGACGTGGACGATCCTGAATCGATTCACAAATGTCAAAAAACGATTTTCTAAATATTTAATTTATAACGTAATGCTGACGGAATGCAAAAGGCGGAACTTGGAAGTGCGGAAGTGCAGCGCCCGGACAGTCTGTGACGGCACACAACAAAAACACTACTGGATGAGTGAGAAATCCGACCGGCTCCCTCTGCGTTAAAGCCAGGGTTAGATCAGGAGTCACAACACAAATGATAAGAAGAGACATTTTGACCATTCAAGAAGAATCAAATCACTATGGGAGTGGTTTGGAAATGTCTCTCAGCTTTCGACTGTTTTACGAGGCTGAAGTCGCTTCTCACTCGCCAGCTTCTTGCTGAACTTTCCGGTTTCACCTTAAATTCTGACTGAGACGCCGAGTGTAATTGCGGCACCATTTAAGGTGGAACGGGAAAATTAGAAAGAGAAGCGACTTCATCTTCACAACTTTTTAGTGTTTGACAGTCTCTTGTTGCAGATTTAACGTACCAGGAAACCAACTGTGCTGCTTATAAATGCGAATAAGTTCATTCATCTCTTTTCCTTTTTCGTTCGATACTAGCTTGGCGAAACCTCATTGCTAACGCTACATGACCTGCAGTCTTTCGCGCTCCCCCCTCCTCTATCACGAGACCAAAACCGAAGTTATGAAATCCCTAAAGAATATATAATGTGCTGCGTGGTCATCCATTACCACTGGATCTTATTTCACCGTAACAGCGCATTTTATCGCAGATGAGTGGCAGCAGCGTCTCCAAACGAGCAGTGAATGAGAGCCTTCTAGTTCACTTGCCATATCACTTCCATTTGATTTATTAATAAAAGATATTGAACGTAAATGCATTATGGATCATTACAAATACTTTGCTTTAAAACTACCAAGTCCTCAGACAGTAGGAAGATAGAAATCCTGTATAGAAAAAAAAGATGCATCGAGATGCATCGATAATCGTTTTATAATTGCATCGCAGCCTCTGAATCGTAATCGAATCGTGCGGTGCCTAAAGATTCCCTAATTAAGAGTATGTATTTTTCTTGTTAAATACACATAAATGCATTTTTACAAAGGTCCTGAGTGTAAACTGAGAGTATGTTAATAAACATACTCTGCCTTTGGGCTTATATGTTGAGTGTGTGTTGGATGGCCTTAAAATGTGTTCTTTGTAGAAGATGTGTTAATTTCACGTAGATAATTAACACAAATGTAATTTGACAGCAGGCTATTTAATTATTTTTTTTGTTATTTCTGTCTATAGAAAATTAGATTTTGAAATTTTTGATAAAATTGATAAAAAAGTATCAAACAATAATCTCAATTGTCTCAAATGATCAGAAAATTTGTTTGTGTACATCAGTTATGTGCCCTGTGTTGTATGAGTGTACAGTGTGCTTTCAGCTCTTAAGCATAATGTGTGTCTCTGTGGGCCATTGGGTCATTTAGCTGCAAATTCAATTCACAGCAGTAGACCATGCTGCAAAATCATGGTCAGGGCATCCACTTATTGAAGCCCATCCATATGTTTAAGCATGATGGCCTTGCATTCCCAGAAAAAGATTTGATTTTGTGAGATCTTCAATTGATTATGTCTCGAACAGTTTTATGATTTATAAATTAAACACTAAACTTAACATGTCATTTAGTAATTCGGAGGATCCAGAGGTATCTGGGAGAAAAATATACACAGGACAAAATGCATCAGGTACTTATACAGTATTTAACAGAGGGGGCGATAGAGACAATTTTTCGAAAACCCTATTTATTCTGGCCATAGAGAAATGGGGCTTAGACCCGGAGTTCCTAATACGGGCATAAGGTGGACTACAAAATGACACACGACTACAGTGGTCTATAAACACCTTGATTTATTAGCTGTTTTGTTTAACTACAAGTTTAACATGCATTTATTCAGTACTTCTCAACCCTGCATGCTCATATGAAACCGGACATGATTGTAGAAAATAGAACGAGGAGACCACAATGTACAACAGTGTCTTCTCTAACTACAAAAAAAAAAAAAACGAATCTATCATTTATTGATGCTGATAACCCGCTAAGAGTCTTGGTGAGGAGTTTTCTGGGTGGAGCAAAAAGCCACTGTTGTCTATTACCTGCAGCAATCTGTATGACTGTGGAGGTGCTGGACTGATGTGTAGATTTAATTGTCTGAAGAGTGGACAGTGGACTACAAAAATTGAAAATGAAATCAAAATGAAAGCAGCACACATGAACAGTGCAGTTCACACTATAACATATAATTCAATTCAAGGGTTGACAAGAATTTACAAATTAAGGCATTCCTAAACCGAGCTTCAAAGATTATATGAGAGGCTAATTCATTCACATATGTACACTTTAGTGTATTAAAGGTTAAATGCTGCTTTGAAAGTCTGCTAAAAGATAATATCATGTATAGACAGGTGACAAATTAAAGAATAAACCAACATAAAGCGTCTTTGTAATATGTTGGGCCACCATGAGCCACCAGAAAAGCTTCAGTGCACTTAGGCACAGATTCCATAAATCTCAGTAACTGTAATGGAGGGATGGAACACCATTCTTCTGAAATATTCTCTGAAATGGTGTTTTGGTGATGGTGGTAAAGAGTGTATCTAACACATCGGTTCAAAAAGAGAATGATGCTGCATTTTAGAATTAGCATATCCTGCTCTGATATGTTGATTTGCTCAACAAACAGGCAAGTGAATGTGTGCTGGGTCCCTTCAGACATGCTGATGTGTCAGCTACATATTGAAGTACTATGCAAAGGTAAGATGAGTTGACTTTCATTAATGTAACAGTTTGACCTAATACTATATTCACCTCTTTATTTGCAGATATTTAACATTTAGTTGGTATTTTGCCAGAAATATCATTTTGCTTCACTACTGAGCTAAAACAACTTGTTTCTTTTATTTATTTACTTATTTGTTTGTTTGTTTTATTGCTTTTGGATGAGGAGTGTGTACACTTTTAAAATACACTCAGTACAAACAATTTTGTTTCTTTGTAATATTTTATTGATCAAGCACTTAAATGAACAAGGGACACAAGTACACTCTCAAACTCGACAGTATGAGGTACAGAGCAGCTGAAAAACAGACATCCCAGCTAATGACAGCAAAATATATTTTCAAACAATTTTTATTTATAATTTGCAAATGAATAGAAAGCAAAACTCTAATCTCAACTTTGATGACAGTATGAATCTCACTGCTAAGTTCTTGAAGAATTTCACATGATAAAAAAGTGCTACGTTACACTGCTTTAAGTGGTTTTAATGTGTATTTACATTGTTTTGGTGCAGGCAGATGAGGTCCTTATAGAGAGATCCTGGTACAGAAAGAGCAGAGCATGACACACAGCACCACCAACACTCCAGATATCACCAGCTCAGCTTCTAAAGAGAGACCATAAGTACAGTGCTGCAGAAATGATTTCACACCAACATTAAACCTTTTTAACAAACTCACTCTTTTCACAGGTGAGAGATGAGCTCACAGAGTGATGTTACAATCATCTGGGTAAAACATTTTTTTCTTTCATTGGACAGAGAGTTTTCCTGTTGGTTCCAGCATATCATTATAGCATATATTAGCACATATTAAGCATCACTAAGTTCAACTGAACTGAACTTACTGAGATTGTTTGTGCTTAAATCTGTGTGCTAGAAAATTGAATAAATACATTTTGGTTGTTTGTCACTGATTCATCACAAGAAACTTGAGTGAATTTGAGAGAGATGAGAGATTTACCTGATGAAGTAGAAGGTGCTATGGATAATATTGGCATGTCACACTCGAATACAGAATGCAGATGAAGCTTCTAAAAGGAAGCAAAAATGACATCATACCTTTTTTTGTAGCTGCTTAATAAAATTAGCCTCTCTACATTCTCACTGGCTGCACAATATCATAAGGGAAGTTTAAATGTAACCAAATCATCTGCAGGAAAAGATATGATCTCAGCCCTCTGTGGCTTAAACACATTTTAGAGCAATTCTCACAATGCCTGCAGTTTAATAAATTAAAAAGTAATTTAGGTGTATGTGCCAGATATCAAATCCTGAGCACACGAGGATTCTGCAGATCATTAATAATAATCACCAAAAACATCAATAGCTGGCACCACAAATGTATAATATGGAAATAAATCTGCCTCTGAAGCTTGAATTTTGAAGACATGCTTAAATGGATCACATTTATTTAAGGGTTCTAAAAGCATTTAAATGCAATTTATTTAATAAAAATCGACTAAATTGTCCGAGCGACTTATGAATCATGTGATGTAGTATCTCACGCCTTAATTTAGCAAGCATGAGGGAAATGAAATTGTAAAAGCACAACCACAGCACGCACTGCAGCATTCAGAAGGGTTGTGGGGTTTGCTTTTAAATACATATTCTAAGATTTTCTCTAAAGGAAAAATAATAAACAAAACTTCACTTTCCTTGCCAATTCACTTACAGTATATGTCACTGTATCTGCCTTCCAGGATGTTGGTTTAAATAGTACTTGTACATGAAAATGTAAAGAAGTGTGTTCTCTTGACCAGGGGCACCCAAACTTTTGCATACAACCGTATGTAAACGTTAAATCTCTGTGGTAGTGAGTGATGCAGCAGACGCCTTTTCATTAAACAGTCTCTCTGTAGGTTAACAGGACTATATTCTGTCCCCACTACAGTAAGCTGGGCATTTAGCTAAGCTAACAGACTCCAGTAAAACTCAGATACGGGCTTTGAGTTTAAATCTTTACTGAAAGAGTCGACATCAAAGAATATTTTATCTGAATATCTGTTATGAGCTTCAGATGTCTGTGTTTAAATCGGAGAGTGGCTGTAAAATGCACAATTGACCGCCATTAGCTTGATGCTAATATAACTTTGAAATCCTCATTAACATGCTAGCAGAAATTAGAATTATCTTAGTGCTAGTAAACAGGTAAACAAAAGCCACTTTCTAAGCAAATTACAAAGTTTTTGTGTTAAATATTGCTGTGCAATGACATGCTTAGCAGGCCCATGCTCATGATTAAGTGACTGTATCTAGCTCATAGCATAAGCAAGCTTAAAAAGTTGGACATATTTTGTTTCTCTATACTGTCCTCCGCTGAAGCCATTGTTGAGCTCTCCAACATGGCTGTCCACACCCCCACTGCCCCCTCCAGTGATATCAGTGATCATTAGCATATGAAGTCAAGACCTAGAAAATGATGTTTTCTTCACAGGGGAGTAAACGAAAGGGCCACTTTCCTGGTGAGATGATATCACAGTGTAAAGGATTGTAATGGTTTAACAGGTGTTCTAGGACTGATTCCAGATGCATTTAATGGTTTCCTGATGGGATCTAAAGGTGTCCTACAGGAAACTAGTCGTCTCTTATGGTAATCATTAAGCCAGTTACCATTAGAAGGCAAAAACAATAGCCATCTATTGCTATTGTAAATGATAACAATACTTTTTTCAGAGTATGATTTGGGCTACCTTACCTGAAAGTGTAACTGTACCCGTAACTGTACTTGTTGCTATGGGCCCTGATGTGCTGTGCATCTGTTTAGTGCTCTGCTTAGCGCTCTGTTTAGTGCTCTGTGTGGTGGACGCTGGTGTAGGTGTGTGGGTGGAGAGGAGTGGTGCTGTAAGTAGAAATGTAAGACACTAAGCAGAATGCAGAAAACCAGCATTATTCAGACATCATCATCACTAAGGAAACTGCATTTTACATTCATTTGTGTAACTAAAGGGAAAACATGTATCAGAAGGAAATCTGTCTCCAAAATGTTGCTCATAAAAAAATAGCTGATCTCTGTGCTCATTTTCACATATGTATTAAGACTTGTACATGCCTCTGCTGATGGACAGTATTACTTTACACAGTATGTCGTAACCTGTTCTTTCCACTCCACATTGGTAAACTCCAGAGTCTTCTATCATGAGGTTTCTGATGCTGACAACAAAGTTCAGTTCGGATACTTTGTCCAGTACAGTGTATCTTCCTTCTGCGATGAAAGTTTTAGAGCTCTCAGATTTAATTAAAATATCATCATAAGTACAAGGATCACGGCAAAAGTACTTGATGTAATCTTGGTATCCATCAGGATAATGACAGTAAATTTCCAAAGTGCTTCGTTCTGCTCCAATGTAAGTATACTCTGATTTGTCTTTCATTGCCACATAGGGCAAAGCTAGGAGAAAAAGAAAAATATATTATACTTAACATTATAATATGCATTCCTCAGTGGGAACAACATGATGTGTTGATGCAACTTTGTTTTTGAATTGCTTTGTGTAACTGTCAAGTGGCACATAAATTGACCATTTGCAAAATTATGATTGACCTAAACTGATTCATGTACATGTTTTCCAGAATCTATGTGTTATTTGATTGAAATTGGCCTACATGCATATTTTGTTGGTTCTCAAATATGTATCTCTGCACTGAACCACTTAATTTTTAAATGACAGATGTTTCAGATGTCTCCTCTCCTCTATGTGCTTCTAAATGTTCCTTTGAACTTCTGAACTGTTCTGCCTTTTAGTATGAGTGTTACGGATGCTACCATCTAGCCTGTACTAAAAGGTTGACAGATGTAGCAAAAATAAGTAACGAAGGTGGGACTTTCTCTGAATTTTGCAAGTGGTGAATTATGTGGCATGTAACTCTTACAACACGCAACTAGTTGCATGAAACTTTCACCATGTAAAGTCATACTATATGATGCTTCAGTATTTGCTGCCAGGTTTGATAGTATAGTGTACTTAAAATGTGATTTAAGTGTTTAGACATTTACCTCCACTGACAAACACCTTTACTTTACTCGTTATGTCATAACCTCCTTTTTCTACTCCACAGTAATAAACTCCAGAGTCTTCTCTTAGGAGGTTTCTGATGGTGATAACAAAGATCATATCTGACACTTTGTCGAGTACAGTGAATCTTCCTTCTGAGATGACAGTATCAGAGCCATCAGATTTAATTAGAATATCATCATCAGTACAAGGATCACGGCAAAAGTACTTGATGTAATCTTGGTATCCATCAGGACAATGACAGTAAATTTCCACAGTGCTTCCTTCTGCTCCAACGTAAATATCTTTTGTTTTGTCCATCATTGTCACATAGGTCAAAACTAGAAAGAGACAAATATATTATACCTAAATATAGTTTAATGCCATCCTTAGATGAACTTAAACATGTTTTCACATGGACAACGAGTTTAAGATGAACTTTGCTCAGCAAGTGTACTATAATTTTGGATAATGCTACAGTAGATAATCACATCCCCGTAGTCATGACAATAATAATATACTGCAGCTGACAATCTAATACACCACTGATCTCAACTGAAAAACTAAATACTGAAAATAAAGAATTTACCTTGGAAAAGTGACAGAATTCCTAGAAGCAAACTCATTCTTCCAAGCACATCAGTTTCTTCACCTCAAAGTTCTTCACAGGTGAGCTAGACACGAAAATACCAAACTATACAAGCTATCCAGTTAGATACACATAGATTCAGGTAGATTCTCAGTCTCTTTCTGCACTGCAATTGAAAAGATGACTTGCATTAGTCCCAGGGTTTAGAAAGTCTTTAGCTGATTGAGAGCTACAAGCCACTTCTGGTTTCCCACTGTTGAGAAGAGGAAACACAAGAGGAAGGAAACTCCAAATATGGCAGCACTGCGACACACTAACCAAACACACTTCACCATCTTACTGATTTCACAATGAACAACTCACTGTCAGTTTTCTGGGAAAAGGGCCATTGCCAGCACACTTAATATGTTTACAGTGCAGTTGTTTGAGTGCTACAACTCATAATTAAATAACCCAGGAATGCCACCCTAATGCAGTGGTATGAAAAAGTGTTTGCCCCTTCCTGATGTCTTATTCTTTTGCATGTTTGTCACACTTAAATGTATCAGATCACCAAACAAATTTAAATGTTAGACAAAGATAACACAAGTAAACACAAAATGCAGTTTATAAATGAAGGTCTTTATTATTAAGGGAAAAAGAAATTTCAAACCTACAGGGCCCTGTTATGAAAAAATGATTGCCCCCCTTGTTAAAACATAAATTAACTGTGGGTTATCACATTTTTGGAGAGCTGAGTTCAATTTCCCTAGCCACATCCAGGCCTGATTACTGCCACACCTGTTCTCAATCAAGAAATCACTTAAATAGGACCAGCCTGACAAAGTGAAGTAGACCAAAAGATCCTCAAAAGCTAGACATCATGCTGCGATCCAAAGAAATTCAGGAACAAATGAGAAAGAAAGTAATTGAGATCTATCAGTGTGGAAAAGGTTATAAAGCCATTTCTAAAGCTTTGGGACTCCAGCGAACCACAGTGAAAGTCATTATCCACAAATGGCGAAAACATGGAACAGTGGTGAACCTTCCCAGGAGTGGCCGGTCGACCAAAATTACCCCAAGAGCGCAGCGACGACTCATCCAAGAGGTCACAAAAGACCCCACAACAACATCCAAAGAACTGCAGGCTGCACTTGCCAGTGCTCATGACGCCACCATAAGAAAGAGACTGGGCAAAAATGGCCTGCATGGCAGAGTTCCAAGACGAAAACCACTGCTGAGAAAAAGAACATAAAGGCTCGTCTCAGTTTTGCCAGAAAACATCTTGATCTTGACTTTTGGGAGAATACTCTGTGGACTGACGAGACAAAAGTTGAACTTTTTGGAAGGTGTATGTCCCATTACATCTGGCATTGAAGTAACACAGCATTTCAGAAAAGGAACATCATACCAACAGTAAAATATGGTGGTGGTAGTGTGATAGTCTGGGGCTGTTTTGCTGCTTCAGGACCTGGAAGACTTGCTGTGGTAAATGGAACCATGAATTCTGCTGTCTACCAAAAAATCCTGAAGGAGAATGTCCGGCCATCTGTTCGTGACCTCAAGCTGAAGCGCACTTGGGTTCTGCAGCAGGACAATGATCCAAAACACACCAGCAAGTCCACCTCTGAATGGGTTAAGAAAAACACAAAATTAAGACTTTGGAGCGGCCTAGTCAAAGTCCTGACCTGAATCTGATTGAGATGCTGTGGCATGATCTTAAAAAGGTGGTTCATGCTCGGAAACCCTCCAATGTGGCTGAATTACAACAATTCTGCAAAGATGAGTGGGCCAAAATTCCTCCACAGCGCTGTGAAATACTCATTGCCAGTTATCGCAAACACTTGATTGCAGTTGTTGCTGCTAAGGGTGGCCCAACCAGTTATTAGGTTTAGGGGGCAATCACTTTTTCACCATAGGACCCTGTAGGTTTGGATTTCTCTTTCCCTTAATAATAAAGACCTTCATTTATAAACTGCATTTTGTGTTGAATTGTGTTTTCTTTGTCTAATTTTTTAATTTGTTTGGTGATCTGAAACATTTGAGTGTGACAAACATGTAAAAGAATAAGAAATCAGGAAGGGGCAAACACTTTTTCACACCACTGTATGTGCTAATTACTCAAAACTCACCCATATACCCCTTTTTCTAAATTAATACAGTTAATTTGGTCTCAAACTGTAAAACTCTTTAAAACTGTACATTTCAAATGCTGTCATTGGAGTGGTACCTTCAGGGGTACGTCCTTAAGTATGTGGTCTTGGCTCCATACACGTGTCTTCAGTTTGGGCGTTTTATTTCAGTTTTCAGTACTGACAGTGTACAGAAAAGCACCGAAAGCCAGTAAGATGACTAAAGCCAGTGAGATGACTAAAAACATGTAGAAATTGTGGGCACATACACAAATCTAATTACGTAAGTGTTTTTTTTTATCATTGAAAGGTTTTTAGAGAACCAAAATTGGTTACCTTTTTACAAGTGACTTTGAAGGTCTTCAAGCTAAAAAAAAAAAAAACATTCAGTGACCGCTGATGCTCTTTAAATGTTGATGGAGATGTACTAAAACACATACTATAATACCCGACTCTGTGCAGTTAAATTAGCATTAGAATTAAGATCCATCAACCAACTGTGCTGGCACACAGAGGAGTCTGAGCTCTGCATTTATCCCATCCGAGCAGTGAAACATCCACACACACACTAGTGAACACGCACAGTAGTGGGCCGTGCGCACACTTGCCTGGAGTGGTGGGCAGCACTATCCATGGCACCCGTGGAGCAGTTGGGGGTTAGGTACCTTGCTCAAGGGCACTTCAGTCATGTCCTGTTAGCTCAGGGGACCGAACCGAGAGGACATGAGTGGGCAGACATAATGTCCTGCATTGACATTTTCAGACACCTGAGATACATTTTCTCGTTTCTCATTATATTCCACACTAATGCCAAGCATCACAGTCACTGAATGTGTGCTTTCGACCAGTTTCCAACCCTATCTACTGACATTGTTCCCACAGACCTAAATGCTGATGTCACTTTAGTCACTGCTAGTTTAGTCACCTACTGAAACAATAGTCATTTGAGCAGTGTGAATAAACCTTCAGCCATCCACGGACCATATAATGAAGTAACTTAGATCTTTTTCTCTTGCTGTCTTGATTCAAAATTGAGGTCAAAAGGGTCTGCTCAGCGTTTTTATATATGCCACAGAGCATGGCAGGAAGTTAACAGCTTAAGGCCCAATCCCATTTCACCCCTTGCCCCTACCACTTAGCCCTTAGCCCTCTGTTTCGAGCATTCACGTCTAGGGTTAGGGTGTCCCAATTTTTGTTGAGATAGAGGGGTAGCGCGAAGTGTTAGGGCTACATGGCCCTCCAAACGGAGGTTTTTCAGAGGCACACTCCAAACGGAGTGCTGTGGGAAAAAAAAAAAGAAAAACCAGCAAGATGGCTGCGCGAGCGACCAAAGAAACCCACAAATGTGAGTATTTTCTCCGTTAAAAAATTACGAAAACCGTTGTATTATCTTAGTTTAATGTCGTTTCAATGTATTATGGTCGTTATCTTCTTAACAAGCATAAAAAAAATCGCTAAAAGTATGCTAATATCTCGGTAGCTAGCTAGCTAATTTTCACGTTCCACCTTAAATAGTCCAGCAGTTCTGACGCCTGAAGCACCAGAATGTAACTGCTGCACCATTTAAGGTGGAACGGGAAAATTCAAGCAAGAACCTGGTGAATAGCTGACCCAGCTTCGTATCACCAATGAATTAGCGGTGGGCGATAGTAAATAATTGTCTTATACCCCCTCTTTTAAAGGATATGATGCCCTAAATGTAACAATGAGGTTGCTGAACTTTTCCCTTCTCTGCTATCACCCCTATACTATATCCCTGCAGAACAGGAGGCAGCAGTTTTAGGACCGCAATTCCAGGACGATATGTTTTTGCGACACTGCCCCCTAGCGAAGTGAACGACCAATGCTCCTTCCTGTCTACTTAACTACTTACAGTTTTAAAGGCTTTTTCCACCCAAATACTACTACTTTATCTAACTTATAGTTTTAAAGGCTTATTCCACCCAAATACTACTTTCTCAGAATTAAACTTGTTTATTAAGAGTTGCATTTTGTGTAATTGTGTAAAAATAAAGATACAATCAATTGCACTAAATCTCAACCAGATATTTGAGACACAAGAAAGGCTTTGGTGCCATAATATTTATTTAATATATCAACAATAACAACCAACAAGATTCAACAAGTAAGATATAATCCCTCCTCAATCACACACACAAAAAAAGCAAATGGGTTAAAAAGGGACATTTAAAACTGGGATGGTTTCTCAACGACTCCTGCAAGAGAGAGAGATGCGTGAAAACCTAATGTTATTGACATTTGATGTTTCAATTTCAATACTCAAACCCCACTTTGTGAATTAGGTTACAACAGTACCTACCAATGGAATCGTCTCCCTTCTTTCTTCAATTGTTTATCTGTCACTGTTAAATTCCTCCACTTCACTGAAATAGTAAAAAGACAACACAATCACTGCTCGCTTAACAGAAATAACTTTAAAAAATTAATTGACATTACAACTTTTTAATTTAAAGCATTATTTTATGGCATTATGTAAAAACAATTACATTCTCTACTCTTACCTGTGGTGATAAACTGGAGCACAGAAGAAGACCTGCTCAGCCTGCTGCAAGGATACATTCTTCAGCACAGCTAGGCCATATATGATGGCCTACCAAAGGAAAAAGGATCATTTTTAACAATATTTTTTATATATACGGTTATACCAATACAGAATACAGAACAGCAAGTCTTTGTACATAGGTCTGTAAACACCTTTTAAAAAATAATGACTATTAAGAATGAACACAAACGTATAGTGGGGTAAACAGACAGTCAGGACAGTTTAATTAGTAAGATTACTGAACTTAATTAAAATGGTAGAACAGTAAGTATTAAGTATTTACACTGAAGACTGTAGTGGACAGATGTAACTATATTATACGGACATTCTTTTATCGTCTTTTGAGTTCTAATTAATGTGCTGGGTAGAATTAATTATCATAACCATTACGGTAATAATTTGTATATGATACCTGGCTAGCTAGGCTTGCCAAAACGGCGCTACGGTTTCAAAAAGCAGGCTAACAGTTCGTTTTGAAGCAATCTATCATAAGCTAACAGATATCTGTGTATAGTGCCTTGCCTATATAGTTTGCTAGTTAACGTTAACTTTGCGGTCTAATTCAAAACACCAGAACGTTTTAACGTTAATTACATAAAACCTGATTCACGTTCTGTACTCACACTCCGACTGTCATCATCCATCTTTTCCACGTGTTAAATGCGGTCCTTATATCCATTTCGCTAGGGAGCAGTATCGCAAAAAACATGGTCCTGGAATTGCGGTCCTGGAACTGCTGCCTCCTGTTCTGCAATCAGACCCTACTCGCTATCACTGAAGTCGGGCCGGGTCGCCTACAGAGCACCGCTAGTAACCTGTTAATGAAGCGACGTTTTTTTTTATTTTAATTTGAGGGTTGTCCCATTTCGTAGGGCAAGATTTCAACAACTAGGGTGACACTCGAGAACAAAGGGTATAGGTAAAAAGAAGAAATGGGATTGGGCCTAAATTGACTGTATGTTTCTGGAAGCATGTCAACTCTTTATGTTTTGCCACAGCTAAGAAGTTAGCTAACCACAACTATTACACTTTGACTTCCCGAGACAAATAACACTCCGGGTCTAACTGTACGTTAACTGCCCTGCTAGAAAACCCAGCATAGACCAGCACGGTTGGTCACCTGCAAAACCAGCCAATGTTTTGTTTTGGATGCTGGTATGCTGGTCAACCAGCATAACTATACTGGTTGACCAGCTAAACCTGCATCAGACCAGCACTAGACCAGCGTGGAATTCATTATTCAAATTTTATTGCTTTATTTGTACATATGTCCATTTCTATTTGTATTTTACAAAGGAAGTGAATGCTTCCTCAGCATATTGTGTAATAATGACAATAACACTAACAATCCTCTTTTATTTCTGCTCTAAAAAATCTCATTAGCTCATCACGTAAGTCCATTCCTGATGTAAATTAGAGGTGTTGGAGTAGGGAAACTGTCTGAAGTATACAGTGCTAATAGCAATGAATGTGATACGTGATCCTGTGATAAGAGCAAATATATAATTTAATCATTTCAGCTCTTAATGCTGCCCAATTTGTCAAAAAGATGCGTGATGGTTTTTTAATCCCTTCTGCATTGCAGGTGGTACCACATCTTTTTAAGTGCTAAGTAAATCACGTAAACTGTGCAATTTTGCAAAGATAGTATATCTGTCAGGATTATATGTAGTAGCTTCATGCTCAGTTTTGGATAAGACTTGTTTTTTAGTATAGTCTCACTTTTTGACGGAATCTCATGTTTTGGCCAAAACTCATTGTCATAAAAAATGGAAGCAAAAAGTAGAGAAGGATGAAAACGTTAGGTTGAACAGTATCCTGCACAGTGCCATATATGTATTACAAGTGTCATAAAGTTAGAGTATTTTGACACTTTGATGCATAAGGCATAATTAAAATGAACCAAAATATGATGTTATTACTGCAAATACTGTAAACAAGAATGGTGATGAAGATATATGAATTATTTTATAATTTGTAAGGCACTTTGATTATTTTTAGCTGCATATATCTTTGTTGTGGGACAGCACTGTAACAAACAGAAGCACGGAAAGTGGGGTTGCTATGGTGTCAGTGGTATGAAAGCTGTGTAGTATTAAAATGTCAGTATTATTGTTTTAATGCTGCTTCTGTTCTTGCTCAGAAATATATGAATTCAGTCCCATAATGGCTGCTTCTTTTCTCTTTTCAGAAAATTTTCTTTTTCATATTAAGACATAAATAAATATTCAAACAAACTTTGTGATCTGTCAAGTGCACAGTTCCATAAAATTCACACAATGCACAAATACAACAAATCAAAACATGATTTACAGGCAATGTGTGCTGAGTATAAAGCCTATACACTACACATTCCTTCCTTCAAAAGAATTCTTCATTATTTTTTTTAACTTGAGAAAACTTCCAAAAAAGTTCGTCATTCAGAAGGTCCTGAAGAGGCACACCCCTGAATGAGCTGTAAAATTATCTTTGAAGTGCACAGAGTCGTCTGTCAGAGCATTCAGGATTCAACTGATTAGTGTACAGCAGTCTATGAGCATCACCCTGATGCACAAAAGCTCTTTGACAGGACTGCTGTCGGCCTCCAAAAGTCAAATGCGTTGTTGGCTTTCCATAAGACTTCCATTAGAGCTGTCTCAATCCTCTTCTTTTTCCTGCCAGCTGCTACCTCAGACGCTTTGGAATCTCGACCTTGAAGACATCAAGTAGTGTTTGTTGTGGGGGAGTGGGGAAAGAAAAGACAGAAAGATATTTAACACCTTGATTTGTTAATCCAAGATATCAAGATGAGAGTTCTTGGAAAGTCCATAGTCAGATGCTTCATGGTATGTTTGTACAGGTTAAACAAAGATTTACATCAATAACTGCTTGCTCAGTTTTTTTGATATGCAATCCTGAGACAGTCTTCTGTCGCCACATTTCTGCTCAAACAGTTCATTCATATACACTGATTTTGTTTGTCTTATTTGTTCCATTTATCAATATATGCTAATTCTACTTTTCCCTGCAAAAAAAGTAAACTCTGGACAAAGTGAGAAGGAGATGTCACTTTTCATTCCAAACTAGGGAATTTTAACAGCTCCTAATACAACTGCCACTCAGCAGCCTCTGGATAACAGCACGTTAAGGAGTTTGTTTGATCATTTGAAAACAGCTGTAGACTATGAATGAATGAGTAATGTACTTTTACATGGTGTAAATGCGCTAAGCTTTTCCCCATATGGAGCAGGACTATCAATGCACCATATGACCATTATGTTGCATCCTACTGAAAATGCTGTATATAGTTTGCTACAAAAACACTACTAGAACTTCACTAATACATTATTATAATAACAATTACAGAAGAACTACACATGAATTAGAGGGTGCATTATACAGAGATCATTTTGATATTGAGTAGGAGTGTAACAATACATTGAGGCTGTTTACACCTTGCATCAGCATGTGTTTTCAGTGATCGGATCACATTTGGATCACTCAAACCACTTCCGGACGTGGCCAGAGATGGATCTTGACTACATTCAAGGTTTTTTGTTAGCAATATTATGTATCATTTTATTTTCAATAAAACCTTAGTCCAACCTTAGTAAAACTGAAATGACATGTGTGTTAATGTGCTTTTTACGCAGGAAAGCAAAATGGGATCTGGTCACAGCAGGAATGTGTTTCAGAAAAAACTGTATCTGGCCAAAATATACCCAGATAATATTTCAGACATGAAACACATGTTAACGCAAGGTGTAAACAAAGCTAATTGTGACACATCACAAAGCAAAAATCTGACAGTGTGCATTGTGCTTCATCTAATGAAACCCAGGCCAGCACACTCAGTGTCATCCACCACACTCCCTGCCTCAAGCCTGCCATATTCCGGCTCTAGTTTCTTTCGTGCATACCTGTCAACTTAATCCTAATAAAAATGTGGAGGAGGATGAGAGAAACTGTATAATTTGATTAAAAATATGAGCCAACACTCCCCAGTCCCCCCTGCGCTGAATTTTTCACTTTCATTGTTTAGGACTATAATTACACTTTCTTTCTAATTATTACTGGCATTGCTTAAAAATATGTTTGCCAGTCTTATTTATTCATTTATTTGCTCAGTCAGTGACAGATACTGAGCACTGAACTCAATATTAATCTCAACTGACCAGAAATCTGTGCATGTTTATTTGTCCTGAATGCTGTATTGGTCAGTAATGCTGGGCGGAGTAATCCAAATTCATTCCAGTCATTCCAGTCCAGTTTGGGTTGTTACTGTGATGACGCACCAGAATGTGAATTTTGAAAATGTAAGAACTTACACATTTACACTACTTAATGCTGCAGCAAAGGCCAAAAAAGTGAGTCTCAAGGATAAACCTTAACATTTGACAGCATTGTTGTAGTATACAGTCATGTTTCTTCCTCATTCAAAATACTGTGTAAACCCAGTATCATGCCAAAAAATCAAACATTGAGCTCCACATCCCATTAGACCCCTAGTTCAGAGGCATTTCACATGGCCATGACAATTTCTTACCTTTTTGAGTGTATTCATGCTGCTGTTCCTGATGGAGTCCAGCAGCTGATCTCTGGAGCTTTTCTCTGTTCCACGGCCTGAGACTCTGCTGCTGTCTTGTTTGCGATTTGAGACAGGGGTCAGCGACCTCCGCAGGGCCTGAACATCCAGTGCTGGAGCAAGGGGGTGCAGGGGGAGCAGGGGGAGCAGGGGGAGGTGGAAGTCCTGGGCTTGGCTCCTTTGTGATTCTACCTTTCTTACCTGGAGTATTAGAGGACAGGGGGCTAGGTGAGGGCTTGGCTGTGGGGGCTGTGGCAGGATTGTTAAATTTGGAAACTTTTGCTAATATGGATTCCTTCTTCTCAACATGGTTGGGCTTCGGTATTCCTTTAAGCTTGGGTGTTTCAAGTAAAACCTCCTTCTTTTTCTCTCCACTAGGTGGAGCTGGCTTAGATTCAGTTTCCTGTTTGGCGAGTCGTTGTGCTTCTAAACGTTTCTGACGCTGTCGGTCCATATTACGACTCAGGATGTTGGTCATGGTCATCCTCGGCCCAGCTAGCTCAAAGTGATACCCCAGCTTGAGTAATGAAGTATTTTCCCGTAGAATCTTAGCCATCTCCATCTCTGTCTTCCCTCCACAGATGTGTCTCTGGTTGTGAAAGCGAAGCTGTGTGAGTGTAGTGTTGTGCTGCACAGACTCGATGATAGCTAGAATGCCTTTGCCGGTGAGATGGTTGGAATCCAGATTGATTTCAGTCAACGTAGAGTTGTTTCGTAAGGTACTGGCAATGGCAAAGGCTACATGATCGTCTGCTCTTGTGTTAGCGAGTGCGAACGTTTTAATATGAGTGTTGCTGCGAAGTCCCTCAGCAAACTGGATCAGTGTGTCTGTTTTAATAACATCTGAGTTGTTGATGTTGAGTTCAGTGAGCTCAGGGTCATCACTGCGGACCTGCTCCAAGAGGTCATCAAACATACTGGAACCAGTATCGCTGTCCAAATAATCCTCTTCGTCGTCATCCTCATCATCATCCTCAGTTTTCATAGACTGGTCGTCTCCACTAGCACAGTTCTCTCTGTATTGAGTTTCAGCTTTTCTCACTACTTCTTTATCCTTATCTTTCCCTCGCTCTCGCTCTTTCACTGTCTCTTTCTCTCTGTATTGAGTTTCAGCTTCTTTCACTACTTCTTTATCCTTATCTTTCCCTCGCTCTTTCGCTGTCTCTTTCCCTCTGTAGTGAGTTTCAGCTTTTCTCAATACTTCTTTATCCTTATCTTTCCCTCGCTCTCGCTCTTTCGCTGTCTCTTTCTCTCTCTCCGGCTCTTTCTTTCTCTCCTTCCATCTGTCTCGCTCTTTCTCTCTCCCTTCCAACTTCTCATGCTCTTTCTCTCTCTCCTTCTCTATCCCTGTTTTGGTTGTATCTCTCTGAGAAAACAGTCTCCTTTTCTCATTGTTCTTCTCCTGTTCCCTTTCCTTCTTTTCTTCCACCACACGGTTTTCCATGTCTTTCTGCCTGCTCCTCCTTTCTCCCACTCTGCTGGCTTCTGTTTGGCTCTTTGGCTCCTCCAGCTTGGATACTAGGCCTTTTGTTCTACTCTCTCCTCTTTTCTCCACATCCTTCTCTTTTTCTTTCGTCCCTCTGGCTTCTGCTTCTTGATTCCCCTGTAGCTTGGATATTAAACCCTTGGTTCTTGAGTTTTCTCCCCTCTTGCTCTCGTCCTTTTTCTCCTTCTCTCTGCTATCTTCTTTTTTCTCTTGTAGCTTGGAGATTAGGTCCAAAGTCTTGCTGCTACTTCGCTCTTTCTTAGAGGCTTCCTTTTGTTTTTCTTTTTCATTTTCTGCTTCTCTTTTTATCTTCCCTTCATCCATCTTCTCTTTTTCTTTCTCCTTTTCAAGAAATTCTGCATTTTTGTTAGACTCTTTGAAGCCATCTTCTCTTATCTTCTCTTCAGGCTTGAAATTTTTGTCCACGGGTTTTTCTTCTTGACTCTTTTCCTTTCCATTCACTGCCTCATCCAAGTCTGATGCCTCGCGGCTTCGCGACCTGGAGAAGCTTCGCTGCTCTCTGCTCCTCATCCTTCTGAGCCGGTTCCGTCTGCGGCCTTCACCCTTCGACTCCCCCTGAGGCACAGAAACACAATAGAAATGATCAGTAATCACACGTGCATGACTAATAGATTAATGGAGCAAACAGCTTCTTTTTCATTAGTTTTTCAACAAATGTTTGGTGGTAAGTCCTTTAATGGTAAGCGCCGTCTCTGAGCTCACTTGGCTCATCATGATGCACAACTTGGCTATATATTATTGTAGCCTACACTTAAAATGCCCTCTGTGAGTTTACAAAAGCTAGGCATCTTTCTAAAGGTCAACATCACACAAGAAGCAATATGTCTAATGTGATCACAGATTTTAGCTGGTTCTAGCTGAATGCAGAGAGCTATTTTTAGTCTCCATTAGAAGGGAATGAGCTGGGGAGATTTGTGTGCCATTGTTTGAAGATGTCTAAGAACTCTCAGACATGCCCTTATAAGGCAGCAAGGCACGGAACACTCACGCCTGGAATTCCACCTACCAGAGTTCTAGAACATCTGGCTACGTTCTAATCATTTTCCCTTCCAAAGACACAGCAGTTCTGCTCCAACGTCATTCCCATAAAGCAGTGAATGAAGCCATCTCTGACTTCTTACTGAAACTAGTCTGTTTAACCTTAAAAAAGTATTCAATTATTTGAGAGTATTTGAGAAAGCCTTTAAAAATTACAGCACTCTGTAGTTGCAAAGGACACAGAGAGCTCTATCCATATGGCAGTTCTGCACATACAGAACAAAAGTATCAGCCCGTACCTTTAGAATATGCCATTTTAAATGTAAATCTATTGCCTGCTACCAACTGGCAGCAACAAGTTTGTTTCGTTTGGTTGTTTGTAGAACATTAAACATTAAATGTTTATGTTGACAACGACTGTCATAACAGCAGCTCATCGGTCATTGTGGCTGGATATTTCTGCTAAGTAATACAGAGGACAAGGCTGCTTAGCAACCTTAAAGTAAAAGTGAGCCAACACCTGAGTGTGCTTGCATGTGCAGGAGCCAGTCTTGCCTTGCCTGAATGCATTTCAAGCAAACAACTCATTTTCTCATTAGAATTTAACCATTTCAATGGCCAGGACCCACCGGCAGGCCCAAAGTATTATTACACACTTCTATAACCTAAGAATAGCTCAGCGATTTTGCACTTAAGTCCCTGTAGTTACTGAATAATAAGGCTTAGCATCTAATAAGCCTGGGATTTTAAAGGTTAAACAGAGTCCTTAGTGTGTACCGCATTACTCAAGGCTTTAGCTGCACCTGTTAAACCCTGTAGCACTCAACTCCTGCTCTCCATTAGTACAAACACAGGCACAGCGCATATTTGGGGGAAGAGATGTGCTACTGAAGCAGTACTATGAAGCATGTCTCAGTTAGGCAGGGTTAGCTAATTCTGGAGCTGAGATAAGCTTAACTCAAAGCTGTTTCCACAGTTGAGCTATAGTATCCTAAGTTGAACCTGTCACTTCCCTTCTAGGCAGATATGATTCCTTAAAAAATGAGTTTTAAAGTGGAGCACATACTGTTCTATTGTAACAAGACATTTCTAAAGTGTTTGTTTGCTTTAGGTTAACGAAGGCTCATGTGGGATCCACAGCTTCAGCGTGAGGGTGGAAACTCCACTCTGAGCCAGATCCATGTTTACCGCAGTGTAAACACAACAGAGTCGCTGAGAGCTAAACTAGGCCTCTGGGTCGCCTTCAAGCAGAGGCATGACACATTTATAGGATTTCCCCTCTAAGGACAGTTTGCACTTTCTTCTATGCGGTATGTGAAAATAAGGATGCTTTGGGGAAATGAAATCCCATCAGCCATAAACAGCAACACTCACAACTTCAGTTTGTTCAGTTCTGTGCTGCTTTGGTAAGAGCCAAAAACTGGATTACCTTGAAGGATGGGGCTAAAAATACACTTCCAGGATTTGAAAGTCACATCTGTGAGCCTTTAGAATGTTCAGAGTGCTGCTGTGACCAAGTCAAAACAACTTGAATGGAAAGAGAAGGCTTTAAAATGATAAGGAATAAGCCAACAAATGTGCAATTCATTCTTTGCGGAGATTGGAGAAAAAAGAAACTATTGGAATATGCTATACTGGTTTTGTGGCTGCCCACCACTAAAGCATGACTGTTACGTGGTGCTAGCTGTCTCCTATGTGGACCATCTGCCGGCTGTAAGCACAGTGTTGATAAGGAGGATTGCAATAGCATTCCAGGCATCCCTGGCTAACTGATCTACACCAGGCCCAGCGCTCCACGATTCTCTGGCTGGAGTGCATTCTGTGTTCAGTGTCTCCTTAGCAGCCTTGTAAACTCTGCACTTCGCTTAAGCTCTGCTTGTCCTGGCACTCACAGACATAGACCCATCCTCCATGCAGAGCTGCTGAGTGAAGCTGGGTTTTGCACCTGCACAGATCAGTAAAGGATCTGAACAGATGTCCCCTGGCCCTGAAAGCCAGAGGAGTCGTTATAGAAAGTTGAGTAATGTGATGACATGACAGAAAGACAAGTAGGCAAGAACTGACAAATTGCAAGATTTCTTGGTTTAACACAACAACTCTGTGGTTTAACTGGGTAATCCAAATGTCAGAACAGTCTCAGGAGGAATGCCCTCCTCCTATTGGACAGTCTTGGCTTTTGGATCAAGTTATCTGGCTAACTGAGGAATCCCTCTATATGAAATACTCCCTGTTCTGTAAAGTAGGGATGTGCAACTGGAATTGTAGCATTATCAGCAGATAGTTGCTTTAAAAATGCATCGCACAGATGTTTTAGATTTGACATTCCAAACTGATATCTGACGACATATTTACTGTACAGCTTAAGAGCAGAACATTTAAGTGATGCTGGGGTAACATACTAAAATGGATTGTATTCATTTCATTCAATTTGTAACTCTCTATAAATAAATGTTAGATTTAATGCGTTTATGCATCAGCATTGGCAGATATATGCACAAAAAACATCAAATACCAGCATCAACCCAAAACTGAGTGAATCTCATGATCATGAATCTCATGATCAATGAGAGTGAGTTCTTTGAACAATAATCTATGTTTCACATTCTGTTAACTAATATATGAAGTTCAGTGAACTTTTAACTCAACTAGGTTGCTTACTTTTGAAGTTAAATCATTTTTTCGGTGTACATTTAAGGCTACAAATCTAATCAAGTGAATCTATTCAGAAGGTGTAGTGCAGGGGTCACCAATTCCTGTCCTGGAGGGCCCGAGCAGAGTTTGGTGATTTCTAGGGGTGCTTTATTTTGCATAGGGACATGCTGCAATGTTTTGTTTTGAAATAAAATTTCAAATTCAACTGTGTAGTAGCACTGGGCGATATGGCAAAAATGTAATATCATGATACTTCAGAAAGTTTGCAGTACACTACGTTACGGTATACATCTTTTTTGACATCTGAAAAACTAGAAAAAATTGTTCCGCATATAAAAAATATGACCAAAAACTATGAATACAATGATTTGTATTTAATATTTCATGTACTAAATCCAACAAAACAGGACTACTTATGCTCTCTTTGCAATCAAACAAGCAGTTGGGGAGTGTTTTAACTACTGACAATATCCACGATTGTCAAAAAAGCATATTATGACATAATTTGATGTAATTTATCACGATAATGATAAATATTGTCATATCGCCCAGCCCTACTGTGTAGTATATAATAAGAGCTATACAGAATCAATACTTTCAACCCAAAAAATAATGTAAAATCTATTTGATTCCTGACCTCAGAACCCCAAAGCATGTTTTGTTGCACCCATAATATATCCTGTGATTCAATTAATTATCAGTATTAGCTGGTATGGTCTCCAACCAGTGCTGGACCCTAAGTCCTCCAGAACTGGAACAGATGACCCCATGCAGTCTAATGCATTACAGTTACTTCTGTATTAACCCTGATGAAAAGAAACAACTCAGACCAGCATACCAGCAGCCAAAACACAACATGTGCAGATTTTCCTGCAAAGACTTCACCTCAAACGACAGTTCCCTCTCGATGAGCTTCTTCGTCTCCCGCTCGCAGTAGTCCAGCATGGCCTCTCGGTCATAACCCCTGGTGGGCTGCTTCTCCGTCTGGTTCTTCTGCCTGAGACCCACCGGCACGTTTGGGTCTGGGTCTATGAGAAGCATCTCCCGCTCCAACTCCTCCACCTCGTCGGGTGAGAGGGTGGCCAGCAGGCGCTCAATGTCCGCGTCCTCGCTCACCTGAGGATCCGGGGTCCTCCTCGACATGACGGGAAAGTCTCTTTTATGATTGCTTAGTCTTCTCAGGAGTGACTCGGTGTGTCAGAGCTCACATAACCACCGCCAGACTCTCCGCTCTGAGTCTTCTCTGAGGCGCTGAGCTGTGCGCACGCGCGCATCTGTCCGTCAGCAGCAGCGACTCGAGCGCCAAGACATTCCAGCAGCGCGCATCAGCGCATGCCCAAATCCGGACGGAGAGCAACAACAGGCTTAGTGACTGGAGTATTCTTTAAAGTTTACCTCGGCTCAGTGGTCGGGAGCTGGACCACCACACACGGTTTAAACAGGTGAAAAAACAAATAATAATAATAAAAAAGATATCTTACCTGATTTCCCGTTATTCCCCGTAAAAAGTGACATTTATGTTGTTAATATTGCAGTTTATTAGTTTGTGTATGTGTTTATTGTCTTATTCTGTGTTGGGGGTTGGTTTCCACGGGATGGAAGCCTACGGCTGGTGGTGACCCCCCTGTGAGTTCAGCACTTCGTGTTCCATAAAAGAGCACTTCTTGCAGATGAGTAATGGTCTCTTCTGTGTCTGACTCTAAGCCGATGCCACAATATATAAATGATAAAAACAGCTGTAGTTTGTGGTGATTATTCTCAGTACTTTCATTGCAGCCCCGCTCCTCAGTCATGGACTAATTCCATGTTGTTAAATGATGATACAGTAATACTACGATACAACTACATAGAAATAATGCTAGCCTTAATGTTAGTATAGATAGCTTCAGTGTTGGACATTTACTTTAAAAAAAGAGTCCATTGCAAGTTACTAAGTACTTCTCTTAAACTGGAATGGGGGTTGCATTACTTATTAATTCTTGAAAAAGTAAGTTTCTACTCATTACTTCATTTCTAAGTTACTCTGTATCTAACTATCTTACAGTATTGGCAGATTAAATTTCTTAAAACAAACAGGTAAAACAAGAGAGGTGGTTAAACATCCTTGTAATATTCTTAAAACCGGCTCAAAACTCTTACTTTCCGAGCTTAAATTTTATTCAATTTTCTTTCATTTTTATCCATTTTATCCATCCAATAAACTCCTACATCAGGCGAGTATTTACTGTGTTATTTACATCAGTATTGTGTTGCCATCTTTTATGTGTTCTAAACATGGCATATGAGTTTCAACTAGGCTTGTTGGATTTTCTCTTTTGGATGGTAGGTTTTGAACACTTCCTGTCTTTTTCCTCTACTGCTGTACATTTTTCACACTTGACTTAGGAATTGCCTGTAATCTTTCTCACAGCCAATTTGTTACTAGGAGACTCTATATTCAGGTCTTCTAAAGCTATAGGTCTAACTTTCAGAAATTGTCAGGTGCGTTGGATAGTGGCTTTCCAGATGTTTTGTTGGAGATCTTTAGTTTGAACGTGTTTGTGCACATTTGTTTAGTTTCCCACAATTATAGGGGGTTAGGTGAAAGTTTTCTAGTTTACTATTGTAAATCACATAGTTGATGTACTTTTAATTTCCATAATACATTAACAAATTAAATAATTCCATAAAAAATCTGTTAAAAAAAAACAAAAAAAACAAAACTACTTTAGAGCTCAAAAATACAGTCCACTTCCATTTTACATTCTCTGGTAGTCAATAATTATGAATAATTAACTTTAATTATAATTAATTCAGGACCGAATAATTAACTGTAAATTGAAAGTGTTACGGGAGAAAAAAACTGGGGAATGCAATATGCTTAAAAATAAAAATATTGGACAGTTAGTCTCTTTAAAAGTGGGCTTCTTGGAGATGTGGCCGATCATCCTGGTGCTTAAAATACCTGAAGGAGGAATACACCTAAGAAGAGCCATGTTTTTGCATTGAATATTAAACAATGGCCATCAGTGAAAATGCAATCATGCATTCAGTATTTTATGAAATTACCTCTGTTGACTTGACAGAGTTACACAGCCTATTAAGAGTTTTTAGACAGAAACAAACAGACTTTTTGTAAGATATTAGACCAAAGGGTTTTTATTCCACACTATAAACCAGGACATCTGAAACAAGCTTAACCCAGACACCCACTCCACCCTCCCACCCCGCAAAATAGCCCAAGCAAGTTTTGTGGCAGTTTATTTTGTACACATCTCTCCCTGGCTGCTACATCGCTAGTCACCAACCCAGACTGCACCATCTACACTTTACGCTTCCTGTACAGGGAACCATCTTCTCTAAAGCACCAGGCACACAGTTCATACACATGCTCAAGCCTCTGAATGCTTACTGACATTATTATTGCTCAGATAAATAAACTAATCTACAAAATGAAAACAAACAACAGAGAAAAATTATATAATCCCAGATGCATGTGTACTAAACAGTGGGTTTTTCCAAAAAAATAAGTTTTCTCTTTATTTCTCAATTATTTATTGTAGATATTTGGTGAAAAAGATTGTTTCTGTTTTTTTGTGTGTGTCCTGCGTTGTTATGTCTCTGGTTCAGCATGCAGATCCCCGGGAAACGAGAAAACCTTCCAATCTGTTTTTCACAACATGCTTTGAACATCTCTCTTGCTGTCTCTGTAATGCAACAGAGCAGCATAAAAACGGATACCCACACTGTATACGCCCACTGTGACTCTTCATTTAGCATAATTATCTTTCTTTTCTTTTAAGACAACCACACATTTCAAATAGAAGGAAAAGGTTGTAAAAATACAAAAAAGTGACCAAATAGCATCATTCAGAACGACAGATTCCAAAAAAAAAAAAAAATTCGAAATAGAGGAAATAGCACCGTTGTTACAAAGGTCAGAGGTCATAGGTTCATAAGGAATTGGGGACGGTCAGTTACACAACCGGGAACAGGACAGTACAAAGGGAAAGACTGAGGAAGAGGGGAGATGGACTAGTTGTTCTCCTAGTCCTCCACATTCCCCCATTCTCCTTCCTCGGCCTCATTTTCGGCGCTGGTCCATATTTTGTTTGCTGCAGGTGACACACATGTAGTCCTCCTCTGCTGCCATCTTTGCAGAAACTCCTACACAAACCATATGGAACCACTGGTTACAGCAATCACACTGCACCCAGTACACCTGCAACAGAGAGAGAACACACTCAGAACACACACACACCCACACCCACACCTAGGCCTGGGCGATAAAATAATAATAATGATCAAAATGATTTTTTTCAATATCGATAATGCACGTTTGAGGCACTTTCGATAACGTGACTGTAATGTTCTGTTCCTCAGTGAGTTTTTAGAAGCAAAGCTCTGAACGTTGAACAATTTGTACTTCTGTACACACCTTTTACTCCCAACAGCACAAACTACAGGCCAGTCAGGAGAGTTACCTTGAGAGTTACTCTCAAGAAAAAAATTATAGGTCCTCGCAAGTCAACACACGATTATATGTAACGGTACACTCTTAAAAAAGATGGTTCTTCAAGGATTCTTTAATAAAGAAAATGGTTCTATATAGAACCAGGAAAACTCAAAGAATCCTTTTAATGATTACAGGGTTCTTTGCATCATGAAAGGGTCCTTCAGATTGATGGAAAATGTGCATGAATGTGCTATAGATGGTTGTATTTAGAACAGGGATGAAAAGGGTTCTTTTATTGCTACAAGCTCAACGCTACTGGGTGCTATACAGAACCCTTTTCAAAAAGGTTCTACATTGAACCATCTATAGCACATTCATGCATATTTTCCATCAATCTAAAGAACCTCTTCATGATACAAAGAATCATTTCTTTACTAAAGAACCCTCGAAGAACCAACTTTTTTTAAGACTGTAGACTACAACGTTGTGTATCATTTCTACAGTACAACCAGTGCTAGCTGCTAGCAACTTTAGGCTTGTACATTAATAGCTGCATATGACGGAAAAAAAGACAATTAACCTGTTAATCGTAATTACTTATATGACAGTTAATCGTCAGCTAAAATTTCATGATCATGACCTGTCTATTTGGTTACTTAAATAAGATTAAAGTTTTTTTCTTGAATCCAATGTCTTGTTTTCTTCAGCGTTCAAAATGCTGTTAAAAAACATTTACCATTAGGAAACATAATATAACAAATAATATCCAATAATGATCTATATCAAATAAATAAATGTAGTACTGTGCAAAAGCCTTAGGAGAAGTCTGAAGAGAATATATGTAAATCTATATTTCTGGGCAGTAACATTTATTTGTTATCTGTTTTTTTGTGTGAGTGTGTTAGCGTAACCATTTCCAAATTTCATGGAAACCCAGCATTTACAATTATCAACCAATGCCTAATTTGGCTAAGAAAAACCACACAGTGACTAGAGGACGTCAGGAACCAAACTTGTTTTCTTCTCATTTTATTCTTCTAACCAGCATTTTAAAAACCTTTTAAAAACACAAAAAGTTGATTATGTTTTGTATGTATTTTTTTTTATATGAACATATTTGGGTTTATTCTAACGTTGTATAATTGTAAAGATAAAACAGGTTCTTGACTGCCTAAGACTTTTGCACATTGATACTTTTGGCCATATCGCCCAGCCCTAACCACACCCACACAGCTTGTCCAGATGTGCTAGGTGCAGTGTGATGGCTGTAATTATTACAGCAATTGCGACACCCCCAGAATACCTAGAACACAGGAAAAAACAAAAAACATAGAAACACTCATACACACATACACACCTCATCTCCTGCAGGCTGTAGGCAGCTCTCGGCCGGGCAGAGGATCATGTCCTCCTCTGAGTCGTCTGAGGGTGACAGGTCAGACAAGTAGCTGGGAGATGCAGAGACAGATGCTGCTTTCCTCTCTCTCCTCTTCTCTTTACTCATTCGCTGCTTCTTCCTTTTTGAGATCCCTCGCTCCCTTACCTCCGTGTCCAGCCCCAACCCCTCTTTCTCTATCCGCCGCTTTGCTTTCTTTTCTGCTGAGGTGACTGCATCTCTCTTTTAAAGACAACAGATAAGACAGGAAAAGGACTGAATTGAAGTTAGCTTCAAGGAAAGTGATGTAGACCACACTAATTGTATTCACTGTCAGTAGACACTGACGTTTGTTAACTGGTCATAGTTCTGACCTACACACGTACCTCCCTGTGTGGTGAGGTGTGTTCCTGAGAGTGGCAGGGTGTGTGTTGTGGGCTGTGCTGTGCTGGTTGTGTGTGTTGAGGGCTGCGCTGGACGGGTGGGCCGTTCAGTAGCAGTGAGTACAGCTGCTCAGTCTCTGGCAATGAAACCTGTAGCAATAATCCCTCCACCATCAACTCCTCCAATTCTGCACTCAGACCTAAAATACAAAACACACACATCATGTTAAATCTTGAGCCCCCAGTTCAGATGGCTTTCAGAGAAAACCCCTTGTACAATATTACATGGCAAAACATCCAGATATCTTTCTGGTAAAAATGTCTTCCCACACTGTGTTTCAGTACGTACCCTGCAGAGGGATGCATCGTTGCTCTATGTAGAAGACTGACTGCTCCTGACTGCACCTGCTCCAGTCCTGAGACTGCTGATCAAAAACACACATCACAACATCAGTCAGTTCATAGACTGCTTAGGGTGGATCTCAAATCTCTAGCTGCTGCCTCTGTCCAACTCCCTCCAGCCTGTGACCCAAAAATCAATCATACACCACTATGTTTAAGGATGTATCAGTTATTTGAATGTACTCAGATGAATCGAGGAGCGAGGAAACACACATGCATCTTAGGTGGAAGTCTTTATCGCAACGTATAACGTAAGTGTGTGATACCATTTCTCTGCCTCCACTCAAGTACTCATTGGATGATTACAGTTAATGGGAGAGTATTGGATGATGAAAGTTAAATCTGGCTGAATTTTCCATTTCCATGTTTCCCTTTTGAACACCAAACTAACCACAACAATCGGGATTTTGTCAGTTCCATTCTGGTTGCCTATCCATACGTCCAAATATATGCAATTCTGCACAGAGTTTTTTTATCATTCGGACAGGAAAGAAAGTTTTATTTTTCCAGTCAGTTAAATTCTAGGCAGATAACAGCTGCATGAACTGGGCACTGTAATGAAGTATGTGCTACGTTTGGTCGTTTGGCATATCAGTGAATACGACAAGGTAGACTGTTGGCCAGAAAAAAGCACTAGACTTTCTGTTGATAGGCAAATTCTGGCCTACAAGACTAGTCCAGTGTTTAGAATAACACAGTACAAAGTAATGTGATTACTTTTTCTTGCAAAATGACTTTGTAATGCATTACCTTATAAATTCATGTAATCACAGTCACTGACTTCATAAGAATCATGTTACTTAATCATCTCTAACAGTGCAATTATTTTCTAGATTACATATCTATATTATTTGTGCCTGTCCTTAATTTGTGTACGCATGTGCTACCTGCAACAGCTGACTGCACGACTTCAACTGTGATCATAAGCAGTGTAGCAGTAGCAGGAAGCAGTGTAAACGTGGTGAACAGCCTGCTCTGAACATCTAAACCTGCTAATATGAAACTCACGGATAAAGAGCCCTGTGCCGAAGAAGAGAGAGACTTTTACTATGAATGGCTAAAATAAGGTGCTTAAAAGAACTTATGGATTTCTCTTGTACTTTCCTGTTTTCAAGAGGTAATAAATGAGTAATTCCATTGTAGTTTGAGAGAAATAATTAGTAATTTGTAATGAATTATGTTAGGGTCAAGCCAGTAAGTGTGGGGGGGGAACTAATTTTCAAAACTTATTTCCTGAGAACTAAAGGTGGAAATGTGAACAGGACACCAAGCCCTGAGTGGGCAGGCGGGTGGGTGGGTGGATATCTATAAAGATGGACTGAAGTGTGCAACATAGCTAAAACAGCAGTAGTAGCAATTAGCCTTGAAACTAATTGGAGGTCATAACCTTTTATCATTTCAGGCCATCATACTGATCAACTAGATTTTGGACTTGTTAATAAATGGGCGACCTTTTCCATTGAGCACTGCATAACAACTGCACTGACCTTCGCACTGCTGTCTGCTCCGCAGCGCTTCTGTGGTGGTGAGCTGCCCTTGTGTTCCTGAGAGGTGGGCGAGAGGTCGTAGGAGGTCGTTACTTCTCTGGCTCGCCGCTGCCAGCTAACCGTGCGTTCGATCATGTAGCGCAATGCGTCTCCCTCAGGCAAACGCACACGGATCCTCTGCAGAGACGCCAGCAGTGGCAGGATCTTGTCCAGAGGTGGTTTGGATGAGCGGTGACATGATTGACATAACCATGGCTCAGCATCAGGGGTGTCCACCGGCCCACCCACACACACTCTGTGGAACGCATCCCGACACAGCTCACACTGACGCATGGCGCCCATGGGAGGCTTCTGACACACACACACTTTGAGTGCGCCACAGTCAGCTGAGGGGAGGAGCTTGGACTCATTAGCTGCACGGACAGATGCTAGGGACTCCAGCTCCTTCAAACGCACTTCAGCAAGAGTCACCATCTAAGAGACAGAAAACAGGGGAAACATAAAATAGCTGCACAAGTTTTGTCAACATAAACAGATATTTGCCCTGCTCGCTCTGGGTAGGTAGGCTGGACCTCCCTCTCTCCTATCACTCAGCACTATTCTAATCTATGTGGGTGTTTGTTATGTGACATAACAGTAATGGCAGTTACTGTTTTCCTTCAAGAGTGCTGAGCTGTCCAAAAACATTACTGACAGTTTAAATAGATGCAGTGGCTGAGGAACCACATGCTAGCCTTTAACCTCTCAGCTTGGTAGCACTGTATGATAGGAGGAGACCTAGCTAGCAGAAGAAACACACTCAAAATCTTTTGCTCCAAACTTGGTTTAAACAGCTGAAAGGTTTGAGTACTGACATTAAATCAAGTGGAAAAAATGTGTAGGCTTTGGAATTATTCCCAAAGCGGTGCTCTTATAAATATTGTCAAAAATACGTGTGGGATATTCTTTCCCTAAATAGTTTTAATATGTGAAGATACTGCAAACCAACAAATATCATCTACTCATTAATAGCCTTTTAACCTAAAAAAGAACCTGGTTAGTTTAAGATGTTGAGACACTACAAACCAGCAAACATTAATGAAAACATTCTGTAAAGCTATATGTCCCCAAACTTTTGACAGGCAACTAATTGTCCATTATATCAAAAGATGACGGCTTATCATTAGAACGAAAAAGCTATTTAGGAAAATTTGAGATTCATAAACCCAGTATTTGTCTGACTACAGTGTTTGCATAGTGTGTCAGTTCTCTCAACACTTGAAAGCAACCAAATTACAGCTTTAATTGTAAGTCACAATATATGTATTAAAACGTACAGCGGAGGCTGAGTCTTTACTGTCTGAAAGGGCTTTCTCTACATCACTGAGACTGTCCAGTCGCCCTGTCCTCTTCTTCCCACATGGCACTGTGTCACCCTTTGTCTTCTTCATCTTCCTCTTCAGAGAGCTCCCTACCTCACATCGTGGACACAACATCTGAAGACAGAAAGACACAAAAAGCGAGGGAGATGAAAATATAGTTCTACTGAAAGTCACTCCAGAGGAAAATTATGAAGATGTCAGGTGGGTTCCAAACCAAAATTCCACTTGGAAAATTTCAACAGCTGCCAACACGGCCAAATCAATGCCATTCTGTAAACCCAAGCTGTTTTTAATCAAGTTAAAACAGCTTGAGTTTATAAAGTTGTGATTTGTGAGCTCAGGCCGCACCTCCAGCAGGGTGAAGGAGGAGTTTTTCAACAGGAACGTTTTGGCTGCAGATTCCTTCCAGGCCTGGACCTCAGAGACCAACGCCTCCAGCCGCTCCAGAGGGTCTAGCTGCACAGGAATTGCACGGCCCCTCAAAACCATTTCTGACAGAGTGTCTAACACAGGCACCCGCCCTCCTGCCTGTGTACACACACACACACACACACACACACACACACACACACACAGTTCTAAATAATCACCATCATGGAAACAGCTTTCAACATTAATGTTAATATTATCAGTATGTTGGGCAACCTTAGACTAGTGTCACTGACTCGTATAAGATCTCAGGCATAACATGTATTCACTAAGTAACTGTTAATAATGAAGTATTAAAGTAATCAAGTACTAAAAACATTGCCTTAAGTATCCAGTAAGCTGGTAGCATTGTTCTGTCACAGTGTCTGCTCCTACTCCTAGCAAGTGTTCGACACCTGGACAAATTCTCCTGAAGATTTTAGTTCTAGGTTCAACTTAAACAAAATAGCTAATCTGAAAGTTCAATCAAGGTGTTCTAGATAGCATTTAACTCCGGCAACTGTTAAGAAAAAGTGTATAGCCTTTACCTGTACACCTTCGGCCTCCTTCAACCAGTCTCTGGCTCTGTTAACAGAGTCTCGCAGCAGCAGACAGTTAGGCAGGTACGTAGGAATGGCCTCAACTTCTTTCAGAGTAGCAGACAGAAACTCCACACTTTCCGGAGGTCTGAGGGAGATGATTGATTTATAGTCAGCAGTGCAATCTTTGGTAACACTTGTAAATCATCTGAATTTACATGGCATACCTAATTTACTGCCATATGTTAACTGGAAAATTTAAGAGATCAAATTACGTCAGTTAGCCTTTTAAGTTCTGCCCCCATATGGCACAAAGCAAATATGAAACAATTATGTAAACAGACTGAGCCATTAACAAATAACTTAAGAAAATAATTATTATGCAAAATGAGACTGTCATTAATAAATAACAGTTTCTTATGTAGCTCCTACAAATTTGCTTTATTTATTATGGCAAAAACCTTCTAAATCCATGCGAAAAACATTGGCCTTTTCCAAATAACATGGAGTCAGAGTGGCTCAATGCTGCACCCACCTGGCCCTGAGCAGCATCTGCGCTTTCTCCTCCCACTGCTCAGACAGAGTGAGGAGCTCCTGCAGGCGGGCCATGGCACGCTCTGTGGACGGGTGAGGGGTCAGACCCACGCCGTGGTCAATCAGCTGCCGCATGCCATCTAGAGATAGGCCACGGGGGCTGGTGGCCGAATCCTCAGCCTGCTGGACAGCCGCAAGCCAGCGAGCGAGCTCCAGACGCTCCCGCAGCCGTGGAACTTCCGGCAGACACACATCAAACTCTGAACTCTCATCCAGCAGAGACTGGATCTCCCCCACCAAATCCGCACTTACATCATCGGAGAGGACCTTCTCACTGTGCTGCTGGAAATCCTCAATACGGTTTAGCATCTCCTGAGGGAAAAAAATAAATAAATAAAAAAAAAGAGAGACTTGTTTTTCCCCATGGAAAGTTCAATATGTGCACATGATATCTATTTTTTTTCTAATCTCTGATAAATTGGAACAAAGTAGTTCCAGTTTTTAAAAAATACTACAAAAACTATGGCTCCAGTGATTTGTATTCAATATTTTGCATATTGTGCTACACTACATCTAATTTTATAATCAATCGTGCAGTTAGGAAGTGTTTTTTAGTATTGACAATATCCATAATATGCTCTGTGGGTTGCCCACTGTCATGGCTTCAGTGAGACCACAGCTACAGTAATGTGTGGATTTTCCAGATTTTAGTCATCAGTAATGAAGGATTCTCTATTTCTGTATTTCTGGGAATAAGGAGGCCTGCTGTGAGGAGCACTGATTGTATGTATTGTTCTTACCTTCAGCAATGGTGCCTGCATTAGGCTGCAGGGGAGGTTGTAAAGCTGACGGACAAATGACCTCAATTCCTCAACGGTCAGCTGGTTCTGAGACTTCCCCCCAGAAGTACGATACCTAAACAGACACAAAGCGTTAAACACTCACTCTTCCATGCACAGAGACGCCTATGTCACACAGTTCTAAACATACCAACACATAACCCACAATGCTGGCCAGAAGGTAGCCCTGTTTTAGGGTCATCACCTGGTCTTAGTGCTAGGACCAGTAATCGGTCTATTTTGGCACACAACTGGTGTGACAGTGAAGGTCAATACCTTGTCTGCCTCTTGCCTTTCAGCAGCTGCTGGGCCACAGACGAACATCTCTCTGCATCCTGAGTGACCAGTTTCAGGTGCCGTAACAGATCATTATCCGGGAAACTCATCTTATCTGACTCCTCAATCAGAGAATGAAACACTGAAAGGTCTGAAGAGAAAAAGGGAACGTAACTAAAATTTGTCCATGCCAGATAATCTCTTGTCATTAGCAACAATTTAATTTCTGGAGAATTTTACATATTCACAGAGTTTCCACAAGTCATATTCACCATGTTTCTTCAAGCCAAGCTCACTGCAGTCAGTGAAGTGAAACTCACTGCGTTTCTTGTCCAGTTTGGCCTCCAGCACCTCAGTAACACGTGAGGCCCATTCGTCATAGGACTCGGCCCTCTGCTTTACAGCATTCATCATGGGGAAGAGGTCATCCAGTGTGAAGCGATACCTGCAGCAGAAAATCAGTATCTATTTCTTAGATATTAATTACTAGAATCAATAAATCAAGTACTGAAGTTTCTACTGCAATAGCTGAATCAGAATGTGGCAACTTATACTTTGCATGTTCTAAAAATTGACAAAATTTAGAGGGGTCCTTTTTTATTTGTAAAAAAAAATGTTCTGCCTAATTCAGATGGTGACATGCAAATGCAGTCATTCTGAGCGGTTTGATGTGTAATCATAGAGAAACTTACTGACTCAGATTTCTTTACAAAAGCAGTGACAGGAAACTGGGTTTACGATGACTAGTGAACCTCGGGTACTATTTTGCCTTACAATGCCCTGCATGTACCTCTCTGCAATTAATGCATTTCAAATAGGTTTTAGGCCAAAATGATCTCAAAATAAATATGAAATAATGTCTCCATACATACCAGTAACATCAATAACAAGTATTATGTAAGAAACTCTCTATGAGGTAGCAATTAGGGACTGTAAACACTTTGGACATCTTGTTTATATAACCACCCCTGTGGAAAAACTCTATACGCATTCAAGTGTAAAAAGCTTACCGATTACTGATCCGTCTACTGATAATCTACACTTTTTCAGCGCATTCAAGAAATGCAAATGTACCTCTCCACCACAAATCGATTTTAAACAATAGGTTTTAGACCAGAAGTTTCTCAAGCCTATCTTAAAACAATCTCTCAGACGTCAAGCATCATATTAACCATTTCGTGTAATAACCCTCTGTGAGGTAGCTTTTAGGGTTATTAGACGCTTTGGACGCCTGGTTCCTATTAACACCACTCTGAACAACTCTGAACGTTTCTCTTGAACAGAGATTTTCACATCAAACCATCTTTCTTTGTTTACATCATAATATAATAATTGTGCAGAAAAGGTGAAAAAAATTGTGTAATTCCCCTTTTAGCTTGTGAAGCTGAACAGTGTTTCCATGGAACACTCACTTGAGCATGTACTTGGAGATGGGGCAGGAGCACAGGTGGTGGGCGTGGTGCAGACACACCTGTTCACCTGGCCGACAGGGACAGGTGAGGGCAGACAGGTAACAGGTGGTGCGGCACTTAACACACTGTCTCTCATCATCCTGCAGCAAGTCGTATTCAAACAACTCACACTGTACCACTCCCTGAGGAGAGACAAAACAATAATGGAGATAAATAAAAGAGAAAAATAAAAAAAGACAAATACGCATGTTGTTCGGAGAGTCTGAAGCTGATCGAAGTGGTTTCAAAAACAGGAAACAAGCATTCAATAATGCTTCCCCTTTACCTTTAAGCAATAACCACAATAACATTAATGTTTGTGAAGATAAGAAAACGGATACTGTTTCAACTGAATATGTAGAGCAGATGTTTTCAGTCCACCTTGTGCTGCCCCAATTGTTGTGTTCCAGCTACCAATACATTTGAACCCTGACTGGCCACCGCAGATGTATTAAAAAGTTGTGATGGAACAAAACTGTGGACTGGCTGACTAGCAGATTCAGATCGACAATTAGAATGAATTACAAAAACAGAGGCACTGTAATTTACTGCAAAACAATAGCTGTGATCTGTCAAACAAAGCAAAGCAAGGCCTTACACATGCACTAAATATGGAGCGTCATTTTTCGTTGCAATGTTCATGATAAAATAGAAGTAGACCTGAAAAAAAAGGGGTTTCTTTGGGTTCTATTTAGCCTCACAATGTCCTGCATGTATCTCTCCGCCATGAATGTATTTAAAAAAGAATTTAAAAATCAGCCCAAAACCTTCTCAAAACCATTGTAAAACAATGTCTCAGGCATCTGAGAACACATTTGTAACATCTTAAGGATTTTTCAAGGTTTGAAAAATTACCCTTTAAACCATAATTTGCAGGTGACAAAAGACATTGACTGTTTCAAACAAAGCTTCCAGCTAACATTAATAGTGAAGTCAGATGATATGCACAGCATGCAGTTATGTGGTGACATAGGGTGTTAAAAAGCCAGCTGAGATCAGATCTGCTACCAAACAGAACGGAAACCAAAGTGATACAAAGAGTGCTGAAGAGTTCACAAGATATTTTTAACCAGCAGAACATGTTAATGGTAAAAAAAAGGCCAATCACCAGGCACTGTGACAGTCCAACAAGTTAATTTGCCACCCTGTTTAGAAATATGTTCCATCATTTTGAGCCACCCGCTCTCACCATTTTGCGGATTTGGTCTCGTAGGTCCCTCTCCTCACTGATCATTAGCACCATGTCTTTGTGTACAGCTGAGGCCAGAACCACGTTCAGCTTCTCTGCTTTGGCAGCCATGTTGCAGATCATTTCATCATGGGAAAACACACAGTAACGATGCAGTAAACGGTAATGATCCACACACTGACGGCCCAACGGCATCTGTGGAAAGAGTGGGGTGGGTTATCTATGGCTAGAGCCCGTGCCATATAAAACTAGCTGTAGATCAGGTGCTTGAGACAGGGGTTCACTCTTACCCAGTCCACAGTGCAGAAGTTGACTGCCTCTGCAAAGTTGAAACCCTGGTTAAAGCCGCTGTGATAGGCTCTTGGGAACGTGATGACAAACTCTCCTGCACACTGGTTGGTCCGGTAAATCTAGAGATGGGAATTAAGTAGAAGATTACTTCAAGCTACTTAGTTAGTTACCATTGTAATTACTATGGCTAAAGGGAGAAAGGGAGAAAGGGAGAAAAGAAGAGAGAGAGAGAGAGAGAGAGAGAGAGAGAGAGAGAGAGAGAGAGAGAGAGAGAGAGAGAGAGAGAGAGAAATAGATGAAAGATGCTACACAACTCACTGGCACTCCATGATCCATGAGTGTGTTGGGGTTCATGATTGTGACAAGCTGGTGTAATAGATCGGGCTGCGACTCAAACAGCTCAGGTGCCAGCTTCTTCATCACTGCCTCCAGCTGCTCAGCTGCAAACCCAGGAGCTCCATACCATGTCTTTGGCTCTCCCCTAAACATGTACACACAAATGCAAATTAGTGATTAATAAATAAATCTAATTTCTTTCATCACAAAGTCCTAACCGATTTAATTCTAGGAAGCTCTGCCCACCACACTATAATATTTATATCATTTACGATTAAGCTTCTGATGCTTGAGTTTAAGAAATTTGACCATTAAAAAGTTGACACTGAGATCTAACAATTCAAAGCTGACAACTGAATCACATCAGTCAGCAAAGCACTGTTTACTAACACTTTGAGAGCTTAATTTTTTTTTGACCAGGGCCGGGTAACAAAATTTGATAACAAATTACTTCAGAACTACAGAGTATTGAAAAATTCTGCACCATTTAATACTGAATTTCAATACACAATCAGTCTTTGCATATGTGAGCCAATAAGCATGCTTGTTCCAAAATCTAGACTGCTGATTGGGTGTCTAAATTACTTTCAGCATGCATGTTATTAACATCAGCACTTTGTGGTTTGTCTGCAGTATGTTTCAGTTACTAAATATACCCACTTCCAGCATGTAGCACTCACTTATGTCTTAAGCCACACCCACTTTGTTTGTATACCGAAGAGACTGATACTGATTCTGAATCGTACAAAGTAGTCAAAGTATTGAACATTTTTTAAACAATAGTCAGCCATATTTTTAACTACAACACATATCGGCTGATTATGGTTTATTAGAATCGTTCTCCTTAAAACGTGGTATGAGTAAAATTTTTATAATCAGTCACACCCTAATTGTCACTTTTCTTCCCTTAATCACTGACAAACTAATACAACCAGAATATGAAACAGGCAGTATGTAATATTCAGTTTTTTCAAACAACACCTAGGACCACTGCAGAGCACTGAATAAAAGGTTAAGGGGGGAGTAAGCAATTTGTGACAAATGTCATTCAAGGATGATTACTGCAACTGATGACAGAAAATCATTACTTTCATTATCTGTGATGAAGAAACCCCCCTAAAATAACAACCAAAGAAAAGGCAGACAAGCAAGGGCAAGACCCTCTGTAGACTGTAGGGATGAAATTATGACAACTTGACTGTTCAGAGAAAACTTATAAAAAATGTAGAAGCTACATGGCAAACTGCAAATTTATCAGGACAGAAGGACAGAAAGGCCAGACCAGGAGCTAGAAAAGTTCTGGAACAAAGTTTTATGAAAAGTTGGAGAATATAAACCCTTAAAGTAATGTGTATAAAGGAAAGTGCAAAGAAAAAGATCCTGCAAATGATTCTAAGCGCACAAAGCGTTGTAATGGTTTGAGCATACATGGCTACCTCTGGATCTGGCACATTAGTCTGTACAGATGACATAAGTCATGAGGGAAGAACTGAGAAATATACAGAAACATTTGTCTTCTCATGTCTAAAAATGCTGCCACACTCACTGGGTGGAAAGCTCATAACGCAGCAAGATAATGACCCAAAACATAATGCTAGTTCATCAGAAAGAAAAAGGTTTTAAACTGAGGAAGTCAGCTTCCAAATTAGAATGGATCTCACATGCTGAAGTGGAAATTGAAGCCAGGCATCTGAAACAACTGAAAGAGGCCATTAAGGCTTGGGAGAACATCTCAAAGGAAGATATCTGAAGTATAGTGATTCCCAGTGTGATACAGACTTGAAAGATTTAGGAAATGTAAAGGATGTGTGACCAAATTAAATCACATTTATTAAATTCACAGCTTTACTTTTTGTAAAATTAATTTGTCCCAAAATGTATGCTCAGCTGAAACTGAAGACTAAACACAAAACCATGACATTGTTCCAACCAGATTTAAACTGTATGAATAAATATTTAAAGACATACTTACAATTTTACTGTCTCAATATGTATGCCTCTTACTGTATTCCAGATGTTATATTACCAAATTACTGAAATTCCTCGTTTAAACATTACTAAGAATCCATAAACAGGAACCCACAACCCCACTGCCATCATTAAGAGTTGCTAAGACTCATCCAGTAGTGCTAGAATGTTCCGGTAAGGCATTATAATAATAATAATAATAATAATAATAATAATAATAATTTTATTTATTTATATAGTACTTTTCATGCTGGTGGCAGCTCAAAGTGCTTTACAGACAGGTGATAAAACACAGTTATACAAGAAATCATTAGTATTTATTTAGAATCAGAAGAAAATGAAAAAGATCAAATTAAAAGATAAACACCACGAGACAGAGTTTTAATTAAATGCTAACTTAGAGATACGTTTTTAGATGCTTCTTAAAGTGAGCACTGAGCTTGACTGTCTAATAAAAGGTGGAATTGAGTTCCATAGTTTAGAAGCATAATAACTGAAAGAGGCCTCTTTAATTCTATAAGGTAGAATTTACCAGTGCAGGTAGTTGATGGAGTAGCTCCAGTGGTCCTCGATATGCCAGCAGAATGAAGAAAAGCACATGCCCACGTAGAGCCACGGCAGAGTCATGCCGCAGATATCAGCTGTCACATGGGTCAACACCGACGGATCCATCATTGCCATGTTATTTAGGTTCCAACCACAGCTTAAGTACTTCTACAACACATAAGCACAACATACAGCATATGACAAAACTAATCATAGAAACATATGACAAGAACAATTCAAAACATTCAGTTCTTCAGTTTACTTTACATATATGTCCTTGAAAGTTACTTTAATAACGCTTAATTGAAGTGAGGCTACCTGACACTTTCAAAAGTCTTTCATGATAACTGACACAAACCTACATACATTTTTATTAAAGGCTTATTCCAACAAGTGCCAGGTGTCATCAAGGCTGCTTTTGTCCATTTTCATGTCATTTCACATCAGCAAGTGTTTGTTGGAATAAGCCTAAAAATGTCTAAAATGTCTACATAGGTTGATGTAATTTGTCACAAAAGGCTCATGTAGGTGTTGTGTAGCCTTGTGAACGATGCACTACAGTAATTTTTTTAAATTTAAAGACACTTTAATTTGCCTTTATTAAACATTCTACCCATGACTAATAATGCTTAAACATTTCCCAGTATGTTTCATCTATTATAGTCATGTTGTATGCGTGTGTGTCTAGTGCTTTAGTTTACCTCATCATGGGGTGCGACTTTGAACTTGCCACCTTTAATGGGGAAGCCGCTCCCAAACTCCTTGGAGGCAATATCAGCTCCATACTCCACAGTCACATCCTCCTCAATAGTGCCTACTAACCGCCAGAACTCCTTCTCCACCAGTTCAGTGGGCACCATCTAACACACACACAGAAAATAACAAACACAAAAAAACAAAGGGGAGAAGTGAACTGAATGGGGAGAAGCTACTGATTTAAATTTTAATTAAGCATTCTTTGGAATGATGCCATAGAATAACCACTTTTAGTTCTCTAAAGAATCTTTTGATAGATGGGACCATTTTTGAAAACAAGATGCCTAAGTGTGAAGAACCTTTTAAAACCTAAAACATTTCTAAAGATTTTTCACAATTTTGTTGAGAAAACCAAGTCTTTCAAAGCGGTTTGATGAAATGTGCATTGTACAGAAATTTAGACTTGGATTTCCTTATAGTGGCGATCATAGGAACCAGGGGTTACAACGTATATATAGCCATGTTATTTACTATCCAAAATGACAGATGAACATACATGTTTGAGTATTTTATGTAATGTTGACAATGGTAAAATAGTGTTTTCTTTGAGGACAATTTTGCCTTATAACACCCTACATGTACCTCTTTGTCGTAAATGGCATTTAGAAATTACATTTTAGGGCAAAACTCAGGCAGCATATCATTATTTTGCATGATAAATGTATGTAATGCAGCTTTTAGACACACTGCTGTGAAGAACTCTGAGAAAGTACTAGATTAGCATATTTCATATCAAACCACTCTAAATAACTCATCTTAAAGATTCAATTACGCAGGAATTTTAAAGATATAGTTATTTAATTTTAATTAGTATAGAACCTTCATTCTATGTGGAGATTCTTAAAATTTTTAAAAGGTTATTCACATTTGAACTTTGAGGTTTATAATTATCATCATCATCATCATCATCATCCTTTTCCAGCAGGGAATGATTCTGGACGAACATGGAGTGAAATAACCAAATACTTTTTTCACTTTATCTCATCTGCTGAAAAAAAATTCTTTAGGGAACCAGGGGTTCTTCTGTTGTATCACTCCAAAGAGCCTTTTGATCACCTTTACTTTGAAGAGAGCATAGCAGTGCTACTTTCCTGTGTGTTGATACTTTTTGGAACTTACGTGAACGGGCATGTTGAAGTAGTCAGACTTAAAAGAGTCAGCCATTTCCCCAAATGCTTTGAGTGAGTAGTCTCTGCGCGCCTGCTCGAAACCAAATGCCTCCTGTGGCTTACCGCATTCCTGTATGGAGACATTTAGCAGTGATCAGTTAATCAAAGAATGAGGGAACAAAAGAACAGATTCAAGGTCTCAAGCCCTCCAGACCATTTAGATTTAAATACTCTTTTCACTTCCTGCTGCTCTGCTTCTTTATTTTATGTACTTACATTGCAGTCTGTAAGTAATCAGACAATGACTTTTACTCTGTACTGCAGGACATGAAATGAAACAATGAATATTAGTAGTGAATTCAAGAGTATGTACATTTATATTAGCTAAAAGGTTTAGGAATCGCAGCCCTTTTTAAATATAGTCCCTGTCTAATAACTTAGACTAGTGCGCTGAAGTCTGCACCCAGTTTCATTCAGTTTCAGTGCAGCTTACTATTTCAGCTTAGGGAAAATAGGCTACACAATTTCAGTCTTAATGATATGGTTTGTTTTTTGCAAAGCATTTTCTATTCTGATCCAAAGAGATGCAATTTTGAAGAATGAAGGCACATAAATAAAACACTCCAAATGCTAACTGCCAAAATGTTTCTATTTGATGAAGCAGACGCCCTGCCATGTCACTACAGCTTTACCCAATGACTGAACAGCTAATTGTGCTCTCAGGGACCACGCACAGCATATGGCACAATTCAGGTTACAATGGAAGAGCTCAGCTCTGTACGACAGAAACAATGCCTTAGACAGATGAGCCTCTCGAAGGACCATAGATTCTAACTTTTTATTTACATGCAATACCAGATTCACTAAAAGTATGTACTGGTTTGGTTTTTTTTTTTTAGCTCAAATAAAATTCTCTATTAATCTATTGCGGTTTTTGTCTATATTTCACCATTGTGTAAACAGTTCCTTCTTCACAGAACTAAATCAAATTGAATTATCATGAAATTTCAGATGTGTACTAAATTGTTTAAGAACCTTTCCCGAACCAAATTTTGAGGTCAGACATTTACAACCCTAGCTACTCAACATTTTATCATTTTTCCGCACAAATTGCAAGCAATAAAATACAAATGCACAAAAACATTATGATTTTTGCTGTCCAGCAGTTTGTTTCCATCAAGTGAAAAAAACCTTCATGCCTATTTCTGTACAAAACAGTCACAAAGAAGTTGTGTTTGGCATGTTTCCATCTCCAATTTCATCTCTTACCAAAAAGAAAAAAAAAGCTTTGGATGCAAACAAAGCTAACACAAGAACCAGGTAAAACAGTATCTTGAACCTAACTGAGACTATAAAACAGAATTATTCAAAGAACAACACAAAATGATTCAAAGGACAACACATCTCTTTGTGTGGGAACTATTTTTCTAACTTTAATGAGCTTTAATGAGTAAATAGCAGGCAAATGACTTCTCTTACCTGTGCCAGACACTTGGGACACCTCCAGTCACCCTTTGGGACATCATGAAGGGGTGGGATCAAGCAGAAGGTGTGGTAGCTGTCATCACAACCATCGCACAGTAAGAGCTTATCCTCATCACTGCCACTCCCACAAACTAAGCACACATAGAGATCCACCTATGGGGATAAAGTAAGGTAGAGTGAGGTTGTTTGGGTGAAGAAAGAAGGGAATAGTGCGTGTGGCTACTCGAGCATTTCATGTTGTCATCCCATGCATAAATTGGAAGAGAGGAAAACAAAAATGTGGAAAAAATTCTTGAGCAGTATATAATCAAAAGAGAGAGAGAGGGAAAGAGGGAGAGAGAGAGAGAGAGAGAGAGAGAGAGAGAGAGAGAGAGAGAAAGAAAAAAGAAGAGAGAGAGAGAGAGAGAGAAAGAGAGAGAGAGAGAAAGAGAGAGAGATCAAAGCAACGCAGAGAGAGAAGACTCACTATACTGACAAGTGGTGGTGGGTTGCTTTTCTTATAGCGAGATTTGGGCTTCTCCGGCTCCATTTGCAGATCTTTGGCCTCCACCGGCTCTTGTTTGATCTGAATGGGAACTTCCTTCACTACAGGCACAATGTGAAAGAGCTTATCAGGCTGAGCATATTAGATTGGATTCATACGCTCAGAAAATGTTCAGAAAAAAGCCAGTGCATGTTTGCAAAAATAAACAAACTAATTACCCCTCCTCTTGGGATGTATAATGTATAAATGATAATTCATAATCAAAGCCAAGTGTTAGGATGCCAGGCACAGGCAGCAGCTCACCTGGTTCAGCTTTGGCTACGAATGAGCCCATTCTCCTCCTCAGATTGGGTCTGCTCTCACACATCTCTCCTCCTGCACCAGCCTCTGCCTTCCCACAGCCAGACTAGAGAGAGAGAGAGAGAAAAAACTGCCTTAGGAGCTTATAATACTGAAGCCAGGCATACTTTGCACAGCTTTCAAAATTGTGAGGCATGTCTCAGAGGGAAATTCCACTGAATTTTCAAAAGTTCTGCATAATTCAATGGCTAAGATTTTTTGTTTTGATGTGAAGTGATACATAGCCACTTTATTTACTATCCAAAATGACCAGTGAACCTGGCAATAGAGCGGTGAATCTGAGATCTGTTTCTTTTTGCAAAACTAAAAACGATGTCTTGGGCATCAGGCAGTACATTCGTAACCATTTTATGTAATAACTTTCTGTAAGGTAGCTGTTACAGGAATTACATGCTTGGGACATCTGTTTTCCATCACTACCACTGTGACCTATTCTGACCAGGATGGAGCATTTCACATCAAATCACTCTGAATGGCTTCACATCTCAGCCATTTCATTATGAAAAAAATATGAAAAACAGGTGGAATTCCCCTTTACCATCAGTCTTTTACAAAATTTTATGCGTTTTTGTTGTGAAGGTGCATACATTACACAACTAGGGTATCACACATGCAAGTATCGGCTGTGACCAACCCCTCAAAATACCAAATCTCACTGTTATTACATGACACATACAAAACTGAAACGAGACCAGACTTGTTTATGCATTTATGCATGTACAAGAACCATAGTGAAAATGCAATCTGTGGGTGAATGCGGGATTGTGAAATGCTCATATTCTATTCTGCAGCAAGAACAGGAGAAGTAATTCAGTATGTCTTGAAGCTCTGGTTTAGTATACAGACACTCATGCATTTGCCAGTAGGTATTAAACAAGCAGCTCGTCCACTGCTGCACATACATGACTCGTCAACCTTTTTTCCCCTCTTTCCTACAACTTCCATTGGTTATTGTCTGAATCACTTGTTCTGCTATGGGAAAATTCGTTGGAAGAGGCAAACTGGGGTTAAAGGGCCCCTAAGAATTAAACAGGCCGGTTTTGATTCTGTGCCTTTAAGACTGATATAAGATAAGCTCTGTTCTGACTGACTGTCCTGTACTGTGCCTCATTCAAAAATTTTAGAACATCAATATGAATAGGTGGGTCTAAACTGCAGAAGGCTGAATAGACCATTTTTGTGTTTGTTAACAGAGATGATGCGTTTTGTAAGCAGAGCGTAACTGGTGGCACAGAGAGTGAGAGTTAGCACAGCGGTGTCAGGTGTAGGAGTATAGGAAGATGGATCATCCAGACGCTTTCTCCAGTTGTTTTAAAGGTTTACCAGCAGAAGACAGACACTGTAGGGTGAATGGGTCAAGAATCCAACTAAATGGCCAAAGTTACAGTGGCCAGACATCTTCGTATACCTTGTGGCAAAACCCAGCGTCTATACGAAAGAAAAACTCAAGGCATACAAATCTCTTGACGCATAAAATTTTGTACTTTGTGGTCACGTCCACGACCTTGAACACTGAGATTTGCCAGTTTTTGGGTCAAGTCAAACTACCATATACTGACAGCGAACTGCACTTGCATGGATGGATTAGTATTAACTCTTTTTCATTGTTTGGTGTATGTCAGAACACTGTAAATCACTAGAACTGCTGCTACCACTATCTAGGTGTATATAAAAATGTCCTTTGTAGTTACAGGTGTATTATTTCATGGTGTAAGACTAATGTAGAGCTATTACAGTATGCCCTCTATGAACTGCATATGTAAATGTTATCTAGATCTGTTGTTTACATCAAATTCATGCAGCCTAATCATCGCAGAATAGAGTCGTGCTGCAGCCATGCAGCCAGAAAGAATTTCAAAGTTGAGTTGTATGTCAGGATGGGAAGGACAGACATAGCAAACACATCAAAGAGCGTCTTTGACGATGGTATTCTATAAAAACGAAGGTCATTTGTTCTTCCATGTCTATTCTGGAATCCAACGGTACAAGAAGACATTTTTTGCTGTTATTCCGTGGATCTCACCCTTTCTGCTCCACTTGTTTCCGCAGTTTTTCTGCCACCAAAATGCACACTAAACTGCCAGTGAGGTAACTATGATGTCCGTTCCAAATTGGTCTGTAGCTGGATATATGTAAATGAGTTGGTTCTCATAACATCACAGAAACAATGATTTAAGACAGTTTGTTTTGCAGCATAGCATTCATATATGGATTTTTCATATATGGATGACATGGACTGGGATTGAAATGTACATTTTGAAAATGTAACAGCGTTAACATATTACTTCAAACTACTTTAATCCAAAAAAGCGACTGAAATTTGGTTTTCCCACTCCAAGTGCCCCTTTAAATTTGTGCTAGAAATCATGTTATGTGTGCCCAACTTTAGCAATAGTATTGGTAAACTATCGGGAGTAAAAATTCTAGTGAACAAGTATAGTTTTTACTGTTTGAAGTAACCATAGTGTAGCTCTGGTAAGCAACCACAGATATGTGCATAGCATTAGACAACAGACTGACATTTGCACTGAACATGAGTTAAAGGTCTATGTGTGCTAAAATAAGATGTGTGTGCATAGTTGTGACTGCACATGGTACTGCTCGCCTACCTCAGCCTTCATCCGTTTGGCTCTTCTGGCAGGCGTGCTCGTATCACTGGGCTGCACCTGCGTGTTCTGCCTCTGCACCAGATCATGAGGTTTATATTCCTTATCATTGCCATTTTCCGGCAGGGAGGGATTCTGGACAAACTGGGGGTGAAATAATCAAATAAAACTAAAATTACACTCAATTCTGCAACACCTGCAAAGGAAGTGTGATAAAAACACTCTGAATTTAAGCCATACAATCTTTGCGTCACATCTTCCCTGCACTGTGAGCACAGCATGATTAACACAGGAAGTGCATGTCTAGGCATGACATCTTGTCAGAATTTACAACTACACATACGACAAATTCATTTCAGGCCACAAAGTCCATTGATATACAGGACACACAAGGCGAAGTACAGAAAATATTTTATACAAGATCCCTTTTTCATAGACTACAATAAAATACTAAAAAAAGTTACTGAATATGCTTAGATATCCACGTAACTAATCTCACAACCCAAAAGAGAATTATCAAGTAGTGTATGAACAGTATCACGGCATGCAACAGCAGGATGAGGGAAAGTGAACTGAGTGCTTTAGAAAAGGGATGTGATTAGCATTAGCATAAAGCCATGTACATTTCACTAAGAATAAACGTAAAGCTTAAGAAAGCTGTACGTATTACATGAAGATTTAGATTACAAAAAAAATATTTTAATTCTTTGTAAAAAATGTAATTAATCATTTACTCTGATGACAGTTTGCATAAATGAACAGAGAGATACATCAGTAATGCTAGAATGCTAACTAGCAAAAACGATTTTTAAACGATTCCAAACATGGAAATAAACAACATTTTACAACTGATATCTGGGGTAAATTGCAGCTTTAAGCTGGCGTTACTCTCCACTTTTTGGTCTTACGTTATGGAAGAACTGTACTTCATAGGTGGCATGCTTCATTAATCTTTATTTCCTCAGAGTAGCACCACTGAGCGCTTTCTTAAGAAGAGCAGGAGACAAGTAAACACATACTTGAGTTTTTATACCTTGCCTCCAAATTTTGGTCATTTTTGAATAATTTGAAAATACCAGTTGCTTTTTACATTGTGTTTCATGAAAAATGGACAGACAGAACTGGTCCAAAATGACGAAGAATAAGATTGTTTTACATTAACTACCATTCAAAGACTTTTCTTTCTTCTCATTACTGTTTTCGAGAAAAAGTTTTGCTCTGACAGCGACGATATGCAATGTTAAAAAGGATAAAATAGTGGTAAGTCAAATAAATAATAAATAAAAACAAATAAAGCTTTTTTGGGTACTATTTTGCCTAACACCACCCTGCATGTTTCCGCTGGCCAAAAGCTTGTCACAGGCTGCAGGGTGAGTAATTATTTCATGTGACAGCTTAATGTGAAGAAGCTTTAACAGGCATTAAATGCTTTGGACGTCTGGTTCCTATCACCACCATTGCGAACAGCTCTGATTTGTCAAATGGGTCATTCTAGAGAAACTTATCAAAACATCCTAAATGACTCTGTTTACATCTTAACCATTTAATTTAAAGACATTTTGAAAACTCACTGGATTCTCCCTTTAAAAATGAAAAACTGCAGATCCAGCTGAAGAATAAGAACAACATATTATCTTCCCTTTCATGTCAGAGATAGGTTGTTTTTCAATGTTCTTACTTGTCACTGAGCAAGTTCTTAAGTCTCTGTTCTAACAGTTAACAGAGCTAACAGCAGACATTTTTCCATTGGGCTCCTTTGACTAATTCTTACTTGCCTGTTGCTAACGACTTTAACTGTGCGTAGTTAAAAAGCTGTGCAACATTATCTCACTCGCTCATTTTCTCTCTCTGCCTCACATTGTAATGCAAGACAGACAAAAGAGCTTGATCCAAAATGAGCTTGGTAGCAGTGTCTCCATCCGTCCTATCAGATTACTGGATAGAACAGGCGGAAGGAAAAAAGGGAGCGATGGTGACTGCCCAGTGCTTAACCCAGAGGACTCTCCTTCATGAGGATAACACATAGACACATCATGTCAGCAGGGAGGGAGGGAGGAGGAATAGACAGAGAGACAGAGGGAGGTAACAGCTGGTGGTTTTAAGAGCTTACTCCCTACTGAAACCAGGTTATGGCTAAGAAAGGGAGCAAAGGGTGTAGTAAAGGAGGTAAGAAAAACAAACCGAGAATGAAAGTGAGTTAAATAACATTTACCTTTCACTTTCTACAGAAACTTAACATTTGGCAGCATCATTGGGGGGGCGGGGCAGTTTGTGGGGGCAGAACGTGTGGGTAAAGGGAGCGAAGTGGGGGAGGGAGGAAGGTGTTAAGGGGTTAAAATAGGTCACAGTCTATCAATCACTGAAATACCAGCCCACACCCCATGACATCAACACTAAAACAAAATAACGGCAAATTTGAAGAGGCGGAAGGGACAAAAAAAAAAACACACACATGTCAAAAGCAGCAAAAGGTTAAAGCTTTAACCACAAAAAAGGGAGTAAATGGAGATCTGTGCTTAAAGGTGACATTTGTTGATCTGTCATTTAGCAGATCTAATATAATGACACATGCAATCAGTTTCTTAATCACTGCATTGGAGCTTTGATGGAACTTAACATGTTATATGAAGATATGAAATCTTATGTGCAAGTGGTTCATAGTCTACACAGCCCCGATGCGATATCACAGCCACCTCCAATGTTAGAATCTCTCGGTCACGGATTAAAAAAAGACAAACATACCTTCTCCTGCTCAGGAGCTGCCCCAAAACTCATCAGTTTGGCTGCTAGCTCTTGTGCCTGGGCAAGAGAGAGTGCCGAGAGTTACACAAGAATTTAGGTGACCTCAGGGCCTGAGGTCACCGACATCCAATCAAACGCCTCCTTTTGTGGAGGAATATTAGATGGTGGAGTGAGGTTATGATGGTTATGATGTTAGGGCTGAATTGAAGAAACAAAATATTAATGCAGGTTTATCACACTAAATACATATAACAAACATTTTTATTTCAGTCAAATAATTCAGCTTCTGTTTTTTGTACTGTTCATTTTCAGAATAGACACTTGGTTTTAGTATCATGCCTTTTTTATAACGGATATTATATTTTTTGTTGTTCTGCTACATGTAGTGTGCAGTTCTGCTATGTGTAGTGCGGATTTTTCTTATACTGGCACATGTAAATGTACTGTACGGATACTAAAATTAATCCATTGTTAAGATGTAAACGTTAAAACACAAAGTTTGAGGCACAAAAATAAATAACTGTCTTTTACTTGAGTATTTTTCCACTAAGAAACTGACCATTCACTAGCAACAATACAAAAGTATAGACAGTGTTACTCTTGACCTTGCTGTTTTGCCATATGAAATAAAAGCAAAGCGCAACAGGCTTAGAATATTTTTGTTTACCACAAGGCACGACAGCGGCGATTTTCGAAAAACGTAATTCCTTTTTTCTCATAAACAAAACTGCTTAGAGCCTGAGTTTCTAATATGGCATGATGCCCAATACAGAATGATGCACAACTAAAGAACTATAAAAGTAGGCATGGAATAGCTACATACGTTCAGTAGAAACACTAGACGGTTTAACACAGTGGCCTTCTGTTGCATGGGAGATGACAAAGAAGGCTACATAAAAACCATGACTGTCACTGTTTTGATTGGTAAATTTTTAGAAGAACGCAGTCATGCCTCTTACACTATAATTGTAATAATAAAATAATAAATTGTATTCCAATTCTGGATCTGGACCTGATCTTTAGTGTCTTACTGGACCTGCAAAGAATTCTAGAAAAAACAATCTAAAATGTTTAGAGTGACAGGGATCATGACAGTACACACCAGCAGATTGGCCCCAGACTGGAAGAGGTTGTAGGGGTAGAGGATCCTCTCGTAATGCGCCCGCAGATGTGAACCCACTGCCTTGCCAGGGGCAAAGCCCATTGTCGTGGCTATCTTTGTCCATCTACGCTCTTTACAGACTACATCGAAACCACCCTCGTCTGCAACCAGCTGTGGGGATTGGTGGGGGAAGAAAAGAGAGAGAGAGAGAGAGAGAGAGAGAGAGAGAGAGAGAGAGAGAGAGAGAGAGAGAGAGAGAGAGAGAGAGAGAGAGAGAGAGAAGAGAGAGAGAGAGAGAGAGAGAGAGAAAGACAGACAGACAGACAGACAGATAGATAGATAGATAGATAGATATTAGATGCATATAGGCTTACTCCATGGAACATATTAAAACAGTCTTTTGAACAATAAAATTTACACAACTTGCCAAATGTTCTCTAAAAATGGACAAACAGAAATGTATGAACAAAATGCAGGTGTTGAGATGCCTATCACTGGTGTTTAAGATATGCACCTTGCTTTTGTTTATATTTACAGAAAACATTAATCATAAAATATCAGAAACCACATAAGCAAGTCTACTTGCGATTACTCACAGACATCGTTTGCCAAAAAATCTAATTTATGGTTTTCCACTTAACAGATGTTTTCAAATCAGCCAAGACATGTTTGGCATCTACATTTTACCACTTTAGTTTAGTGCAAACACTAGAAGTCAATTATTAGCCAAATCTTTTAAAGAAATAAAAACATCTCTTAGCTGGCTCAAACCACATACAGGTCTTCATTAAGCTCACGGAATGCAGCAGGCAGCCATTTTAGATAAATAGGTGGTGTGCCGAATTCCGACTCCCATTCGTGTACATCCACATCACGCAGGCATCTGGATGCTACAAATTACGTTCACAATTTCTGTTGTTTCTATTTATAAATAATTGTTAATCTCGAATTTTCAAACTGAAGATACATGTTTCTGAATAGAAACAACAGAAACTGTGAACGCAATCTAGAGTCCATATATCTTACTGACGTGCGTGATGGGAGCTGGATTCTGCAATGGGACTCAGAATTCTGCAAACTATACGTTGTCTTAAACAGATGTCACCAGTGTTCAGCTACATCGTGAAGCTTTGATCATTTTCATAGTTCAAAGTAAGTCATACTGTACACTAAACAACGACAAGTCTGTGCGACCTGGATGCGGTTTGAGCTGAGAGATGTTTTGGGAATGTATTTATGGAAAAGACTTGACTTCTAGTGTTTAGTAACGGTAGCCTCATAGATCCAACATGAAACTAAGGAAGTAAAACATGTCACACCTAATCAACTATGTTTGGGACAAGTGGAAAAAAAACTGAGGTTTCGCCAAACCTTTCCTGTAACAACATAACACAATTTGAGGCAAGAGTGTGCAGATTTAGAAATGTAGTTTGCACAATCGTAGCTACATCAGCCTCATAGCTCCAGAGGAAAAACTAAGGAGGTAAACTTCAGATATCAACATGTTTTGGCTGATTACCCCTCATCCTATGTGTTGTCAAACAGTACAATTTTGCTTTTACTTCTTTATCTACATTTCTATGCTGCTCTGTTTAATGGGCTTACCTTGTTGAGCTGATATAAGTCTAATATCTTTCGCTCTACGTGTGGAATTTTGAGTGTGCATCCCTGAAGCTCCCAGAATTTTGCAATCTGGTCAAGAAAATTAAGCTTGACCCGAGTCTGCGCCTGTATCAGAGATAAAGAGGTGCAGGACAAGAGGAGAAAGACAAAGAAAAAGAAAAAAAGACATGAACCACCTAAAAAATGAATACAGAATGTTGATCATTAACTAGTTTCTGCTTTGTTGAACCATGCTTCTACTGATATGGAGGAGAACACAAACTGGTTTGAAAAGACCTACATTCTGCTGACCAATGCTTTCTTAGAAAAGAAAGAAGGAAGACCTATGACCAGCTTAAAGCCAAGTATCTCTGAGGCTCCTCAGGACATTTTTACTGAAGAGAAAATACAACAGAATCCTGCAGAGCCACCGCCCAGTTCCTAACCTGCCTCCCCCACCAACCTTCACACAGTTATACTCAAAAGAAAGTGAAATTTGGTGTGAAATTACCTCCAACTCATTGAGTCTCTGGATCCGAGGAGTGAAATGGAGTCTGTCAACATCACATGCAAACGGAGGTTGCCAATCCTGCACATACAAACACACACACAAAAATTAATACAGTATAGACAGAATAAACTGTTGTCTTACATAAAAAAGGCACTCCCTGCTGGCAATTGCTGCTCTCCTGGAGGCAATTCAAATTGCAGACTATGCTTTTCACACTTCTCAAAACACAGTGTTAGAATGTCTATAATTAATCCAAGAACTAAATACTGTCTGATTTTCTTTCTGCTGTAGATTCACTGCATTGCATACATTGGCTACTGTAACACTGACTGTAAGAGTGCTCAGATTTTCTTCACAGTACTGATCCTGATACCTGAAAACTGGATATCAGCCGATTCAATATTTCTTTCATCTTCAACTTAAAATATGTATATCTCTATATACCAAAACAAGCTTTATTTATATATGTCTACAATATTGGTAATTAAGGGTTTTCAAAATGAGGCACACTGGACAAGTAATTCATATTTAACCATATTCTTCTAACATATTCACGGCTTTAAAGTCTAACTGATCACTGGATACATCTTAACCATCACCTCCCAAAATCACCCAAATATCTGACAATTATTATTTTTCAGCCAACATTAAATTGATAAAAAATTGAAAGTTTGAAACCGTTACTTAATTAAGAGGGGCTTTTATTTTGACATGCTTTCACATCCTTACATAAACAAGGCTGTGTATAATGACCATTCGTAATTATTCGCTTTATGTAGAACATTCAGCTCTGTGAATAAAAACACGTGAGAATTTGGGGTGTTTCTGATTTTATAATGACACCCTTCCTTCTGGCTGATACTCAATCCACTTAATATGGTCAGATACTGATCTAGGGTATAGGATCAGTGCATCTCTAACTGGATGTATGAGTAACACCACTGCAAAAGCAAAACGCAAGAGGTTTGTCTCTTCTATAGCTATAATTCTGTAATTGCTACTGTTGGTGTTATTTTCTACATATTAAGCAAGTAACCAGGTATAACAATAAAGACTCAGTGTCTTCTTGAACAGTGCTTCATTCTGCCACTGATTTGTCCACAGGACAAAGACTAATAAACACGCTTCAGGTGGCAAGTTTTCTTTCCCTGCAATCAGCCACAGTAATGAATCATTTAAAAGTTATTTTGGCACAGGCACACGTGGGAGTGCTAATACACCAGTTAAAATGTGGTGCCTTTGATTAGAAAACAGCAGTTACTCCTCCTACAGAGATAACAGCCAAACAGTGAGAGGTGCTGTAAGGCTATAACAAATTCATACCAAAGCAAATTTAAAAGCATTTGTGAATCATAGGAATTAACTTCAAGGATAACCACTTCTTTGGGCATTTCACAGTGACATTCTGAGGTCAATGTTAGACATAACCTATTAGTCGATTAACCCAATTATTTAATTTAACTACCATTCATGACCTATGCTATTGTTTTAGCTGGACCTACGTTTCTTTCAACACTACAGCCTGTGAGGTCCACATGTAGAGCAACCACTGTTAGCCATAAACCCCACCCATGACAAACAGCAAAGCCTAGAGAAACAGACTGTTTACTCTTTAATAAAAGGTTCGAATGAAGCCAAGCTCTCACAACTGGAAACCATAACTGATGTCATATAAAAAATTCTGCATGTGTTTTTTTCATTCCAACATTTGAAAGGAGCAGCAGCCATTTAGACATTCAGATGACAGTGCTTGAGCATTTCAAGATGGACAAACGGACCATTACCATTACGGACTTTACAACACTGACGGTATACACTTGGTATCAGAAATACACCAATTTTGAACTGCGTAGGCCAATTTCTGTGAAGAAACGTAGCTTTTGCTTTTCAAAAACAATACAAAACACTGCAATGCCAACTTATGCTTTTTTGATGAACTATTCTTTTCATTTAACAGACTGACAGCATTGACACTGCCCCATTTAAGGACACTCTTCATGATTGACTGCCTCATTTTCACATTAAGCTTTGGTGAAATAGCAGCATTAAGCAGTACAATTCAGCTTGACTGCCATTACTTTTAGTTTTCACATCCAGTGCTTATTATTCAACATGGACTCCCAGTACTAAACACACTGCCTTTCATCATAGCTTTAAGCCCATATTAAAATGGAGCTAGATCTTGACCTTAAAACCTAGTCTTTGACAGAATATCAGTTCAAACTCTCTTTCACATATGGCCCTAACCTGGCAATGAGCCACAACATTCCTGAGTCACTATGCATGTGTAAAAAAGGGGTTATTGATATGCAGTGTGAGGGGAGGGTTCACCAGTGAGAGGCTCTTTAAGATTTAAGAGCCTATTGGTTCAAACAAATGGTCCTTTAGAGATGGAAGGGCATCTAAGACAGCAATAAATGACTGCAGGAGCTAAAGGATCTCAGATGATAAAGAAATGATGTAAAATGTAACTCATTAAATTATTGCTGGGTTTTACTTTATTCCAAATCGATGAAGCATAATCAGGAGTCAAATGTAGTCAAATCAAATGGAGACATGCTGAAGTTCAGGCTCATCTTGATTCTTGTTATTGCAACAAATAGACGGAAATAAAACTGGAACAGCTGGAAGAACATGGAGCGAACGCTTATCGGTTCCATTCATGCAACACAAAAATGTTTGAGTGCTGGCACAAGCAGCCTATAAAATCTGTTTGCTGATCATTGGCTACACCAGCACTACATACAACAGTACTAGATATAGAGGTGTGATTACAGCAAGAGAAATCATTGGGAAATTAGTGTTAAAGACAGCAGAGAAGCAGAATAGCCATTAGAATCAGCCACATCCCAGCAATGTTGAAGATAATCTCGATCGAAAAATATGATTGTAAACGTACTTCGGGCCAAAGTTTAGCTCATCTGCTAAAAGCACCAAAACCGAAACAAAATCAAACCCACATAGTTGACACGGTTATTTGTAGGTCATCTCACAGTCTATCTCTCTTGGTTTCTTGCTTTCTAAACCCATGTCCTTTGAGACGCACGACAACAGCGCACTTCCTCTTTTGTAACCGCGTAGGTGAGCTATGAACAAAACCGCTTCCTCTGTTAAAATGTAAACTACACCATCCACTTTAAAAAGGCAGAGCGAAAAAGCGCTTCCAGTGGATCTAAAATATCTAAATTTATTGAGAATCAGACACATATCCATCTCCATCTCTGCTAACAAAAACACGTCTGCAGTTACTGTCTAAAATGAAGCCACTGTAACCTAATCTTCTCTCTTGCCATTTCCTTAAAACTAGCAAAGCATAAAGGACTAAAAAAAAAAGTCTAATCAGACCTTCTACAAAGACATCTTCACCCTGTCTTTTCTGCACCAGCCCCCTCACATCCACCCACATCCCCCCACACCCCCACCCTTGCTGTTTTCCAGAGATGGAGCTCCACAGCAACAATACACAGGACTAATTCTGACTACACAACAACACAAACACACAGACGTGATGAGATCAAATAACAAAAAGTTTATAACACTGATGATAATTTGCAGGCTGATTACACGATTCTACTAGTATAGTGTTTTTCAAGGGACAAGAAAGAAAAGGGAGCAACAGGAACACAGCAGTTTTGCAATTTAGACAATAGAGCAACATTTAAACTTGCATTCTTAAACTACTCACAATCTATCTATCTATCTATCTATCTATGGAATAAATCAAAAAGTAAACATGTTATTGTCCCTGAAGCTTGGTGTTATTAGCCAGTCAGTGTGGTCGCCACAATTTATATAAGACATAAACGCAAAACGTGTCTAGAAATAATTACTAGGTAGTAAAATTGTAATTACTATATCTATTACTTAATTATGGTCTGCATAAAGTAATAAAAGGTGTGTGCGTTACACAAATGAAGGCTCCATCATTTTGAAACTTGATTCAAATGGGGGTCTCATGATGTCAGTAATCTATTATGAGTTGGTTGCTTTCAGCATGTATTATCACCACAGTTTGCATAAGTAATTACATTGTGAAGTCCACCGCCCAAATTGTGTTTTTGAGACCGTCACATCAGTTAACATTGAACATTACAATGATTTTTGTTATGATAAACACAATATCTCACGCTTTCTCCAACACTGAGCAGATGAAAACACCTCAGATGTGTATAAATTCTGTTACGTAAATACATTAATCCTTGGTCTACAACAGTAAAGCGTGTATTTCCCAAACGCCTTTAAAACGACGGCATGGATGAAGACCACGTAGATCTTCACATTTTTTTTCGTACTTGGTTCCCAACAGTTGTGTCGTAGACACACAAAATGGCCAGATGGTCCACTCACTCCACAAAGGCAACATGGAGGACACCACCCCGAAACAGGGCCTGTTGAGTGGATTCCCTTCATAATGGCAAAACACAGTGTTTCCGTCGAGTTAACACTACACTTATATAAAAAAATATGTTTTAGAGGATATAAGGATCCGCTTTTGCGTGAATTTTTCACTGGGTTTCTAAGCGAGAGGTATTAACAGAATGACAACGTTTCACTTTTCCACAAATCAGTACTTAGAGGCGTGTAAATGTGAAGGTAGCAGGAGAAACGGTCGAAAAAATATAGAACAATAAAGAAGCGCCGCGTCCTCTCTCTCTACATGACTGACGTTTGGAATCAAGAGACCAAAGGTGCCTGATGAGGCTGAAGTCGGCTTCCTATCCGCCAGCTACTTGTTCGAATTTTCCCGTTCCACCTTAAATGGTGCAGCAGTTACATGCTGGCGCCCGCACCATTTAAGGTGGGACGTGGAAATTCGAACAAGAAGCTGGCGGATAAGGAAGCCAACTTCAGCCTCTAAGGTGCCTACACGACTGTGAAACATCTCAGGTCTTAAGTGACTTCAGCTCCTGTACACGGCGTTATCAGCCGTTGTTTGTTTCATTAAAATAGTCCCATTAAAATTGTATCGTGTTGTTTTCACTTTCATGCGACCCGGATCCGTGAAACATGTCACGTAGCGCCCATCTTCCCTGCATTTCTGAGCATGCGTTATGGTTTTATTCACACACAAGGATATAATGCGACGCAAATGGTATTCAATGTTCTTTAAAGATATCACTTAAGAACTGAAATGGCGGAAAGAGTCGTTGGGGGTGCTCATGTGCATTCTTTTTAAAACAAAAAAACACCTCAGTTCTTACAATTCACAAAAGAAAATCCAATATTTAACTCGCTGCTATTCCTAAAATAATGGATGTATCGAAAATTACCAAATCAACTGACTAACAGCACGAGCTACAACAGCAATCAGTCCTCAATTGTTCACGAGGCTTGATGAAAACGTGTAGGGTTTACGTAATACCGTTTTGTGTCGCCTGCAGTTGGTGGATGGATGTGCATTAATGAAAACTATATGATCTAAAACACACTACAAGCCCCATCCGACTCAACTGAAGCGTTTTGAGTAAACTGAACCGTTAATAAATGAGAGGGACTTAAACCCTTGATGGAGGGTCAGCTTTGTGAGTCAAACTTCAATGTCACAGTGATGCGCTATTGCTATGTGCCTCCTTTTCAGTGTGGGCAGCTTGTGTGTGCGAGAGAGTGATAGTTCCCATACAAAATGAATTTTCCTTTAGTTAACGTTAGCTAGTCGTATAAATGTTTTAACAGAGGCAGAACAGCACGTTTCACTTTAACCAGGTAACCAAATGAACTCTAGAAAGGACAAAAAAGTAACGAGGCTCAAGTCGGCTTCCTATTCGCCAGCTTCTTGTTCGAATTTTCCCCGTTCCACCTTAAACAGTGCAGCAGTTACTGTCTGGAGCCTGAGCCAGAATGTAACTGCTGCACCATTTAAGGTGGAATAGGGAAATTCGAACAAGAAGCTGGCGAACAAGAAGCTGGCGAATAGGAAGCCGACTTAAGCTTCGTAAAAAAGTGTAACTTTCAAAAACACCATCTTTCGGTGACTAATGTGGTCAAAGTCACTTAAGAAGGTCTGAATCCTTTACTAGCAGAAAGCTTAACTTTTCGTTAGTTCAGTCTCAAACTATATTCCCCATCCCTCAGGCACTGTTAGCTTATCTGTTAACGTTTATCAACAGAAGGACTGCCCACAGTACAAGCAAACCAAATGTAAGAATATCGAGGTCTTTGAAACTCCAGACTTTTGAGGATAAAGTTGCCTGTGGCGACAGACATCTTATGTAGGTTAGCTAGTTAACTAACTAGCCACAGTAACCGTTAACAAACGTTATTGTATGTGTGCTAAACAGTGGTATATAAATAAAATGTTCATAACATGACAGCACATCGGCATATTTGTGCTATTTGTACACAAACAGAACAACCGGAATGCCAAGTAAGTCTCATGTGCAAAAAAACTGGCTAGAGTTTCTATAAAAGATGAACATTACATTTATGATGAGAGCTGGTCGTCCCTCTCTCTAAGCCTTAAACTAGCACATCATCACTAGCTTAACTTAACCGGCTTACAATGACTCTATTCATACGTAGCGACAAAATTTACTCCAAACCACGATAAATGTAGAGTATCTATCTATCTGGGCACCCAGGAAGCTCCCTAATTTAGTGACCAAAGACAGCTATAGGTCGACCACATCTCAACAACCGAGGCACACAAAGCAAACCAGCTGGCTTAGCTAACCTAGAGTGCTGTCACTACGCCGCCATGTTGAAAATTTTCCCTTTAAATCTTAGCTAAAGCTAGCGACTACCGGACTGGACGAGAAAATCGCCAAACCGCGGCTCCTGCTCGGTAAATTAAACGCGGCCGAGCATATCGGGCTCCCAGCGCTTCTGTCCTGAACCCACTCACCGGTGGAGGTCGGACTTTGCAGATGCCAGTTTTCTCCGCGATGGGCCGTATCTTATTGATAAACGCGAAAGGATCCGCAAATTCCTCCCAGCTAGGCTCGAAGACCGGGCACTCTGGAGGCGGCTTGAACTCGTCCGGCCGCGGCTGGCTCATCCTGGAGCTCCCAGAGCAAGGCGGACGTGGAGGTGACAGAGAGAGCTGTCAGGATCAGCACCTGGGTCAATGCCTTTGATAACTCCCCTCTCTAATTCCCACTAACTCGAACAATCAGTATCAACATACGCTCGCTTAGTCAAACACGTACACACATATACACACCGTGAGACGACTGCTCTTAGGCACTTACCACATCCGCCCAAAAAACTAGAGACCGAGTAAGCCTGGAAATCGCATAAAAGACTAAATAAACCTCCACATAACCAAGCTAAAAATTCGGGTGTGGTATGTCTAACTTTTTTCCTAACAGGCAGATTAATATTTACATATTTTTAGCAGGTATTGAAGTGCTTTACGTATATAAACGTAGTACTAGATCCTCAAGTTCACGAGGCATTTAATGGCCAAGACTTTCACTTTACACAGCAAGATAAGTTATTTATCGTATTTTAACCGTAAATTTCCCACAATTTCACCTATTTCTAGTCAATTCAAACTTTGAAGCAAAACAGGTAGAGAAGAACTCCGACTGACTTAAGTGCTTTTTGGGGAAGAAGAGGATTCACCAGCCAACCCTATGAATGAAATGGAATGGGCTGCCATACTCAGTACAGGTGGACGTTCTAATGTCTTTATAAAAAAAAAAATTGAATAAAATGTAAAAAGACAACTGCAAAATATACAAATACTTCTCTTTTGTACACTTTACAAATACTTTATTCTTTTTCTCTCTCTCTCTCTCTCTCTCATATATATATAAAAACTCGCATGCATTAAGCTGAGATCACTGTAATGATGACCCAGTTCTGAGTTTTATTAATCCGCCCCAATCATTTTCACGCTACATAATAGTATTTACTTCCGCGGATGGATACCTTCAGGTGACAGCTCACGGAGACCGGGACTTGTTCTTTAAATAGACCCTGCTGAGCAGCTGATTGGACGCCGTTCTTACGATGAGGCTGATGTAGAAGGAGGGGGAGGATTCAGTAGTGAAATACTGTAGAAAAAAGGGAAGGAAGTACAGAAGTAAGTGAAAGAAAGCAATTAATAAGCTAACCCAGTTATGCACGTTTGGTTATATCTGAAGCTAAGCAGAGCGTAGTGATCACAGAATGAAAATTATGCCGTTTTTGAAGCCAGGTTGGTTTTGCAGGATCGGTAGATACTAAATGTAGCAAGCAGGCAAGAGTGACTTTCACACAGGAGACAAAAGGAGTAGTAACCCGCCTCGACAGATACAGGCCTTGCTGTGAGTCGCCTTTAAGATGATCTGAAGTGCTGGTAAATAACGGGAATATTCCACGTGTTGAGTAAAGACGACTAGCGCGAAAAAATAAAGCCATCTTCAATATGAAAATGACTTGTATTCGCCATTGTTACGTCTCATTTGATGCTCTCACTCCGCCCAGTAGCATCTTAGCTTAACTTGTGTTTACATTAGACTACCTATTTAAGATTTTAGAGCTATAAATAATAAATGCCACATTACAGGTTGCGAATGATCCATTTGAAATTCGTTGGCATGGATGAGATGCATTATGAATAAGAGGGAGATAAACAGACATGAGGGAGGTCTTTGTAGTGTTGATGGGAGCTAACTGATGAGACATGTTGTTAAGACATTGGACATTTCTTTGATTTATGGGTGTATCATGTCAGTATCTATACGATGAGCCCGATGAAGATTTTAGGGGGCCCAGTCACTGCAGGCGTCCCCGCATTATAAGCCTACCTTGTTAATAAGCTGACTAGTCCTAAGAGATCAGGACCAGTTTGGAGAACAGTGTCTGATTTTATAATTTACACATTTACTGTTACTGTCATTATTATTACAAATGCACCGGCTTCTCTTTCTAGTCAGGGTCTGGCCGAGGGAGCCCTAGATTACAGGTGGATTTGAGACTGTACACTCAGACTCATGAAAAAAGAAAGCCTTACATAACCAGATCAAAATCCTCAAAATAAAACACACTTCTGTTATATGAAATTGTGTATAATGATCATCTTGACATTTCATAATGTGTACCTTCTCCAGATGATCACAAGCCATCTCCCAGTTGGCAGAAAGCAAGATGTCTCAAGGTCACTTTGCCAGGAAAATAATTGTCAGCTTGTTACATAGATGTGCTAGAATATCAAAAATTGAAAATGCATTATGAAGGATAACTGTACTCCTCAGAGGAAAAATAGCATGTGATAAGACTGCACCCAAACAGTTGAATGTAACATCCTTTCCTATCTACATTCTTCAATTTTGCCCAATCTGTAGCCCATGGCCTCAAATATATTGGCAGAGCTGACTAGCATGTGAATCCACACGGTTACCAAGATCAAGCAGAATCAAGACAGGCCTAAGCAAGGAACAGGAAAGCAAGTTTCATTCAACTATTAGACACAATCCCAGTCAAAAACTGCTCTAAACCCATAACTGGGATATACCTTTTGCACTGCAATTTAAATATATGCTTTATTACAATGGACAGTGGGAGTGGTTGTGTGCATGTGCAGTGGAAGGTGGATGATCCCGTCTTGGTACGCCTCTGCAATTACTTGACTTGCCAGAAAATGCTTCATTACCTGATTTGCATCGGTCACTCTTTGTGCCACATTCCACTGTCATGTCTTGATCTGATAATTTCCTAGAGCTCAGGTCTAATATCTTATTGAATCTGTAAAATCAAAGGATTTAAACACAGCCAGACCTTTGTTAATAAAAAGACAGTGCTCCTCCCAGCACTACAGTTAGTATTGCATACTGCAATACAAAAGTGCCATATGTACTTTCCTCAATTTATAATAAATCAGGCATCATTTTAAAATGACATTTATTTAGGAACAGAATATTGCACAGTCAGTTGCAACATCTCAGTTGAGGCAGTCAGCAGTGTTACAGTAAAGAAATAAATCATAAAACCAAAATGCCTTTGGCAAAATGGCAAGTACAAGAGCTTGAGTGAACATAAAGAAAGGGGAATCACCACTGACTGAAGGACAGAATAAAACACATACAAAGAAAGAAAAGACATTGAAGAAGAGACATTGTTCCCTTTCTTTGGAACACGATGCAAAAGCCTGGCACTGGAGAGATCAATACTCCTCTCCTTCCTCCTCATCTTCAACAGACTCTGTGCCCACCTCTTCATAATCTTTCTCCAGGGCTGCGAGGTCCTCTCTGGCCTCAGAGAACTCCCCCTCCTCCATGCCCTCACCAACATACCAGTGCACGAAGGCCCGCTTGGCGTACATCAAGTCAAACTTGTGGTCCAGACGGGCCCAGGCCTCAGCAATGGCTGTGGTGTTGCTCAGCATGCACACAGCTCTCTGCACCTTCGCCAGGTCTCCACCAGGAACCACTGTAGGAGGCTGGTAGTTGATGCCAACCTGGCGTAAAGAGAGATGCAATTTTAGAACTTACCCAAAACAACCAAGAGTTCAAATTAATCCATCCTTATGTTTAAAAAAAGAATTTATACAAATTGTCCCATTACCTCAAATATATTTCATCATTCAAGACAACGTTTGGTTCTTTAGTTCTAATTGGAACTTTGAGGTTAATGTAGCTAACAAGTAAAGTTCATACACTACTAATTTGCACAGTGCAAACTGCATGCCTAGATAAAGCACTTGCCACAAACCACAATTTTAAATAAACCTGCTTATGCAGTTTGACACTGCATGTTCTGTTATCCAAAAAATAGACTAAAAGTACATCAAAAGTACGTCTGATTTTTTTTCCTGTACTTTTGTCCGTTTGAAGTCAATATGGCACACTTTCTCTCTCCTCACCTTGAAACCAGTGGGGCACCAGTCCACAAACTGGATGGAGCGTTTGGTCTTGATGTTGGCAATGGCAGCATTCACATCTTTGGGTACAACATCACCACGGTACAGCATACAGCAGGCCATGTACTTTCCATGGCGAGGATCGCACTTGACCATCTGATTGGACGGCTCAAAGCAAGCACTGGTGATCTCAGCAACGGACAACTGCTCATGATAGGCCTTCTCGGCAGAGATGATTGGCGAGTAGGTAACCAGGGGGAAGTGGATTCTGGGATAAGGCACAAGGTTGGTCTGGAACTCTGTCAGATCAACGTTCAGGGCGCCATCAAACCGTAGAGAAGCGGTGATTGAGGACACAATCTGACCGATGAGCCGGTTGAGGTTGGTGTAGGTGGGACGCTCAATGTCGAGGTTTCTGCGGCAGATATCATAGATTGCCTCGTTGTCGACCATGAATGCACAATCGGAGTGCTCCAGAGTGGTGTGGGTGGTCAGGATTGAGTTGTAAGGCTCAACCACAGCCGTAGAGACCTGTGGCGCGGGATAGATGGCAAACTCCAGCTTAGACTTCTTGCCATAGTCGACAGACAGGCGCTCCATCAGCAGGGAGGTGAACCCAGAGCCTGTGCCTCCACCAAAACTGTGGAAGATCAGGAAACCTTGGAGACCTGTGCACTGGTCAGTCTATGAATAAAAAAAAAAGCAGAAGAAAAATGTAACCTTCACATTAGTGATGCACTAAAATCCATTCTTGGTCAAAACCAAAATTCATGACAGCTGAAAATTAAGTGCCAGTATTTTTTATTCCTTAAAAATACATTTGTACCACTGCACATACTATACCAATGTATAATCACTGCTGTTCTAACAAACAATATATCTCCAAAAGACTCACTTTACAGGAGAAGGCAACAATACTCTTTAAATATAGATAAATGTATTGAGATCCCCCCGCCCCAAGTCCAAGTAAGTCTAAGCCAATTCTATTGGTTCATTCATCATAAAAAGTTCATAAAATGTAAAGGGCAGCTGCTGTCATTTTTTGCCATCTTCGGAGTCAGAAATTCTGGTGCGTATACAACATGTTCATATTTAATTGTGTAAATAAATTTAAAAAATGAATGAAACAAACGTTCTTACCAGTTTGCGAACACGCTCCAGGACCACATCGATGATTTCCTTGCCAACAGTGTAGTGGCCGCGGGCATAGTTATTAGCCGCATCCTCCTTCCCAGAAATGAGCTGTTCTGGGTGGAACAGCTGCCTGTATGTGCCAGTCCTCACCTCATCTGTAACATACATGCATAGTTTAAACACAACATATACATGCAATCTATTCTCATACATAGTAAGCCTGACTTTGAGCCAATTTACACCA